TATTCAGTGAATGACTATAACACCCATTTGTTTAATGATTAGTGTTTTACTGTATATAGTTTTAATATGAACAGCTGAAGCATCAACTTTTGTATAACTCAAGATAAATGTTATTTTCACCAGAAAAAAAACAGAATCTTTATACTGGGAAAGGCATAAATACCTTACATGGATCAGGCCCTACCCTTTTTTTTCACCTGGGAAAAAAATGAGTCAAAGTTGATTTACATTTACTTTCAAAGAGTAACCCATACCAGTCTCCTTGTTCACGTGGAGCACAGTGGTGTTAAATGCTAAACTAAATCCCTGGGGTATCAAAAATTTCTCTTATGTGTGTCAGCATTGATACCGCACATACCCACAACCTGTTTACGCCCCCGGCCCCTGTCCCCACCCCTGCTCACAGACCCACACCCCAGCAGAGGGCTCATCCACAATCCTCCGTGACAAAGGGAAAGAGCTGAGTGCAGGATATAAGGCTGCCACTGGCTGCCAGAGTGTGTCCAGCACAGAGCTTTCTGCAGATTGCAGCAGTTTGAGATAAACCCCCCCTCTGTCTGATCACTATAGACGGGACCACTGTGGGTGGGGGTCATCATTAGTGCGTGCAGTGACCAGGGTGGAGTTGGGGGCTTGCATTTGCTAAAGTTGGTGTGACTATAAAGCTTCACAGCCTAGTGGACATGATCTCTATAACTTTTTTTCCCCCCTAGTACAATATGTCTGCGTGTGTGACCAATATTTCAAACCTTAAAGCTGAATCACATGGCACCAATCCTGGGTAATTGAGGGGGTCCATGGACTGACCTTAAATATGGTGTCTGAGGCAGGGATAGACACCAGACACTGAAAAGCTAAAAGAGGGCACTTTTGGAGGCTAAGTAAAATTACCACAATACGGTATATTTCACTTTTACCTCCCCTTTTTACAACATCAGCACCATCGTCTAAAGTTGCCCCACATGAAAATATTTTTAACCCTTAAATATAGTCCTTTAGATATGACCTCTGTCTTTAAAAGTGTAATTCATCTGTGTTCCCTCCATAAAAGGGTGTCTGCCTGGCTTTGTAATTTTTTCTTTTTAGCAACACCTCTGATAGTCTGATAGCAATCCCTCCTCCTAATTTGGCCAGGCATAGGAGTGCTTCTTTTCTAATGCAGATAAGCTTCACCTCTCATTTGTGTCAGAGAAAAGCCATATTTCATTATTTGTTGGGACAAGTTTATGGATGCACAAATATAGAGCGTATTCAAAGAGCAGCTGTAGTTCCTTTTTTGCTCTGCACTGACTTACACTGAAAATCTGACTCAGTAAGTCAATATGTATGCAGGGATCTAAATGAAAACAAACAACAAAAGGCTTCTGGGGACAGGAAAGCAAGAAAAATCTGTTATTTTCTAAAAATAAACAGCTCTATCTTTTCTTCCCACATTTTATATAGTTCAACAATTTAATTAACAGAGATGTTGGTTAATGAACAGATCTGAAGTGACAGGTTGACAGTTTCAGAGGCAGCCTCAAGTCTAACTATAGACTCGACTTAATCTCTACGAAACTGCACAACTGAAACCATAAAACAACAGATATCTGTTTGCTGAGTGACAGAAGTGAAATATGCAAGTCATGTCATGTTTGTCCCCAACTCCCAAAGCCAATCGGAGCTATATTTGTAAAACATAAAAGAAAGTTTCATGTCTGCAGTCAGAGCCACCACTTCCACTGGGTTATAGTCCGGTCAATGCGACCTACTAAAAGATATTTTTATCCCCTTAACACTTTTTTGAGTCGTCTCTCAAGGACAGCTGTGCTATTTCTGTTGTGCTTCTTGTTCATTCTCTATCTCACTTGTCTCCTTTCTTATCCTTTTTCCTCCATAAACCAGTTGCTGGAGGTCACCCTGCTGTTCCAGTTGAAAATTATATAATTATTCGACAGAATGAAACCAGGACAGCTGCTGTAGTGGAGCCACAATGGTGCAACGTGACTCACTGGGCTCACAGGATGAGGATCATCTGTAGTTTTGAGACTGACAGCTCTGTGAGTTATCGCACCCAATTCCTGGTGTGCAAATCAGCAAACGGGCTGTTTCACATGCAGTTAACATGTCTGAATCACATGATAACTTTGTGGGTTCAGTCACATGTTGCTGAATTCCCAGGTGGAAACTTAAGAGAAGAAAGCAAGCGTAGGAACAAATACAAAACATACAACACAGTCTTGGAAATGTTCAACATCATTTACAGTTCAGATAATTCAATATTAAAACTTTGATGTTAATTTAGTCAAATTAAAGCCAGACACACCGTTGTGAGGGCCTGTGAGTTACTTCATTGTAACTAACCAAAAAGCTTCAACTGTAATATATCATATTGAAGCCTGCACAATGAGTTTTCAGGCTAGAATACAGCAGGTACAAAACTAAGAACTATTTTAACTATAGGTAAGTCTCTCAATTCTCTAAGAACAAATAAATCATTTAAAAAAACTCATCAGAAATCAGAAGTGACCTCTGAAAATGGCTTATTTTATCCAACCAACAGTCTTGAATTTAACATTTACATTTACTGAGCTGAGTTCAGTTTTACAAAGAAACAAATACTTACTAAAGCTGTGATATAAAAATGATAAAGATGTCTGTGGTCTATGTCTTGGTCAGTTTATCATACTACAGAAGCACACTGGCTGACATGTTCTCAATAATTTGTCTTTTGTAGATGGTTGTGTTTGTTCATCTTGTCAAAGAGTTTGCCTGTAAATCATTTTAATGATCTTGTGGGTTTTAAATGATCTTCAGATGTGTAAAACCAGCAGTTTGTCCTTAAACGGATGTTTTCTGCCTGTGTTCCCATCAAAGCTCTGACATAAGGAAAAGTTAACACAAATACTGCAATTCTGAAATTGCTAAATACTTTGTCTTTTAGATTTATCCCACTCAAATATCACAAAACCTCCTTTTGACAAATTTTGCACTGGGGCTGACCACACCATAGAGTAGACATGAATGTGTCTTTTCTTTGGGGCAGATGGACATTGTCCAGTGCTGTACTTGTGGCTCCCTCTTGTGGAAGATTTTGAGTATGGTCGTCGTCGTTTAAATGCTGTTTTTGATGGGAAAAATCAGATGTGAGAGTAAGGCGTAATAATTTGAACAATGATTGGATGACACTGAAGTAAAAGGCCCTTTAGTGACATAGCTGTCGCATACAGTTTGGTTTACATGGGGCAGATCATTCCTCACTTAAAAAGGTGATGCTGTAGAGGAACATGATCATGATGAGCACATATGGTGTGAGATACCATGTCTCCATGGTTACCATATGAGAACATACTCATGGACAGCTGTATGCACTCCTTATTTACACTACAAATTAAAAACTACAAATTAAAGCTGCATAAATGCTAATATCTAAATACAATCACTCCTTGCTGTAAGATGAACATATTATTTTGTGGATTTTTAGGCTTTAGATTTTTCTTCTTATCATGACAAAGAATGCCTATCCATGGAGAAAATTACTTTTCTTATTAGATTTGCATCTTTTTAATGTTCCTGGAAGAAAATAACTTTTGCCTTCTCTGTCTGGATCCTAACGGAGACAGGATTTGGTACAAAGTATAGAGCTGCACACTTAGTTTAAATCAGAAACATGTTAAGAGTGAACAAACCTGAATCTATCCTTATTACTCTGCCGAAGTGCTCAAACTAAAATCTGTCATATGTGTGAAATAGTAAAAACGGAGTGTCCAGAAGATGGAGCTGTTCCTCAGGTAGCATCAGTCCTCTTTGAGATTTGTGGTTCTCTTTGCTTCATTCACTTTTATTTACCACCACGAGTTTCAAAACAAAAACAAAACGCTTCTTGAGCCACAAAATATGTTACACACACCTACAGTGCTTTAGGATGCATATCATAGCAGTCCTTTATTCTTAGTATTACAAATGTGGTCTCAAAATACATTTATGCGATGTGTTTATTTGATTTGTAGGTGTGCATGAAAAGCTAAACTGGATCAGCCCCAGTTTAACTACTTTGTACTGCTTACACTGGTTATCTCAATCATGTTTTATTCATACAAGTCCAATAAAATATTTCCAACCATAAGAAAACAAATGCACAAGTGGTTGACATCTTTTTTTATTAAATTCTTCTTTCCTCAAGAATGTCTTTGGTTTTCCAAAATATTCAAATGCAGCAATCTTGACAATAGATGTCAAACTTGATAATAGATGTCAAACTTTGATCGCTCTCCGGGATAAGCTAAACTAAGCAATTTTTCCCACCATATCCTTTGTTAAGTGCATGACCTGTTTTTCTAGCTTAAAGTCCACTTTGGTGCACATGTCAAATTATACAAAAACTTCAGGTTTGGAATATTTTACAATAACAAATAAACAAGGAGAGGACAGGGATCATTCTTCAAGAAACTCTTAATCCTTAATCAGACAAACTGTACAATAACACCAGAAGAACATCGTGTAGAGAGAACATACGTCAATTTAGAAATAAACATGAAAGAAGGCGGACTCAAAGGGGAATGTAGAGGGGACATGGCAACATTTAAAAGTCCTCTTGTTAACATTGAATGGTCTGATGTAGACGAGAGAAACACCGGATAGATCTGCAGATCCAAGATTCGATTAACAATAAAAGATCGACAAAACAGGGAGCTCAATGAAAAAGAAAAAACACCAAAATGCACAATTTAAACTTAACAAAAAACTGTTAAACAAACAATAATTACAAAATGTTTAACAATCAACCGACTGAACTGCACTGATTATTTCTTTCTAGGTGAAATGGGGAACAAAAGAGGAGCTGATGATATGTTTATAAGAGCCAGTGTTATGATTTGGCTGCTGCTGCTGCTGCTGCTGAGTGTTCCTGTTTTTAGGAGTACACAGTCCCCTGTTCGTACTTTGAGACAGAACTGTATGTACAGGCGTGTTTGAGTCAGTCTTGTACGGAGCATAGAGATAAACTAAGAGATAATCAGAGGTTACCGTGTCCTGCGACGGACACATATGTTTGGCCTGCGTGTTGGAACAAAGCCATGTTTGCAGTAGCACTTGTATGAGCCGGCAGTGTTCACACAGCGAGAATTCTTACATGGACTTACACGAGCTCCTGGTTCTGCACATTCATCGATATCTAAAAGGAAAGAAATTCAGGCACTTAGAAATTTCTCCACATCAACAAGACCATCATATACATATTTTTGGTGCGGTGACTCTATGAAAATGCATGAAAAAAAATAAGGTTTAAAATAATGTTAATATGACATTACAGACCTATGCAGCGGGTGCGAGAGTGGTCCAGTCTAAAACCTGTGTTACATTCACACATGGTGCCCAGGTAGGAGCGAACACAGCGGCCATTTGCGCAGCTGCATTCATCTGAATCCTCCTCTGAACTGTCACCTTTTTTAGATAATAGGCATTGAGGGGAAAAAAGAGAGACAGCTGAAAGTAGGAATCAGTTTGGTGGCAAGAAGAGAAGCATGTCAGACTTTAAACAGATGTGGTGTAAATTTCACCTGGGTTGTAGTTTGCAAAAGCTGCCAGGAAATCCTGCTCCCCATCAGACTCAGTCTCCAGATGCATCTCACACAGACGACTGAACATCTCTGAACATGGAAAAATGTCTATTAAACTCACAAAAAGGACAAAAGTAGTAGTCTAGAGGTCAATTTAAGGGGCACGTCAAATCTGTGGTTGTCTCACCTGAGTGTCTGGGTGGACAGGTATTACACTCAGGTCCCCAGCCACGACCATAGTGACAGCAGCACTCTGAGTAGGTCACCCTTAAGCCTTTCCTGGGCTCACTGCAGATCAAATCTTCGTCAACCAGGAGGAAACACACATCCTTGTGGGCTGCAGTGCGATCTGAGTGAAGAAAGAAAATAAAGTACAAAAAGTGAAATGTAAATGGTAGAATAACGACACAATAAGATGAACATGGTTCCTCATGCTTTATTCAACCTGTTATGAGCCCTGATATTTGCATCGGATTGGGGTTCGTGAGCATTTGGAAGATGCAAACATACAACTATTTGGGTGACACTGTCCAGATTGGTTGTATTGTATGGCAGCTGAGCTAAAGGGGCGGAGTTTCTTGGCCACTGCTAAAGGCTCATGAGACAGAAGTGATAAGCTGAAGTGGACAACTGCAATGAGGAGCGTAGTCACAGCACTGTAGGCCATCTTGGTAGGAGTTAATTATCATCTGAAGCATTGATGTCAATGTGTCAGATTGAAGCAGTTTGAGGCGGTCACAGGTTCAGCACCCCTTGGTTTTAGCTTAGGAAGCCTCAAGCTAATGGTTTCTCATTGTTATGGCAGCAGTAGATGCCTGGAAGCCTGACACTGCATTTCTCAGTGTGAGTTGCCTTAACATAACAAATATAAAGATGAGAAATTTGTATATAGGAATCATTGAATGCATATTTGAATTTTTTGAAATTTGTGATTTGACATTGATATTAATGAAACCTTGAAAATACATAGTCTTCAGCTTGATGGCAAATCAAAAAATACCTCAGCTGTCATTATTTGCAACATCCAATATTTACTCAAGGCTGATGCTTCAGAGAAAAACACAAAAACCAAACAGAGGTCTTTCTAACTTCCGTCTATAGTCTTACAATAGTGGGGGAATAGTGTGGTAACATGAGTCAGAGGCTTATTGCAGCAAGTTTCAGGCAAACTGTAGCAGTTATTTCAACAATGTTACTAAAAGGTTTCTGCAGTTTGTAATGTAGGCTCTGCCAGAAAGTGAATTCTTATGGTCGATAACAGACAAAGCATTATAAATAACTTCAGGGACATCCTATATAATACCTGTGAGTTACAGTACATTGTCATTGCACATAGAGGCTGAAATGCTTAAATACAATATTTTTTGTGCATGTTTTATGATTTACAGACAGCTAATAACAACCCACTTTAGATCATATTGGAGTTGCTGCCATTGTCAATGTCTTTGTCATTGCATGATGTGTAACTGTAGTATGTATTAGGATTCATCTGTCCAGAAGTTGCTGCAATCTGACATTATTTATAAGAAGCTACACGGTCATCATGCAGAGCCCCTGTGGTTTCTTTTTTTGAAGACTAATGAATCAACACAAATACATGAATCATGAGAGCTGTGATGCTAAATCTAATGATAAGCTTGGCCTGCTGTCCTTTATAGCAGTGGTTCTCAAGTCCAGTCCTCGAGGCCCACTGTCCTGCATGTTTTGGATGTTTCTCTGCTCCAACACACCTGATTCAAATGATCAGCTCGTTATCAAGCTCTGTAATGGCTTAATAACGAGCTGATCATTTGAATCAGGTGTGTTGGAGCAGGGAAACATCCAAAACATGCGGGACAGTGGGCCTCAAGGACTGGACTTGAGAACCACTGCTTTATAGCACACTGTAAATCACTTTAAAACATGCAAAATTAACAGATGCAGGCTCAGTCATTTCCTACTAAATAATAAGTTTTCAAATGTCACTTTTTCTACCAAAACTTGGGCATATATTCAACACAAAAATAACACAAAAAGAAAACAAATGTTATTCAAAAAAAGGAGACAGGCTGAGGAAAAACTAACACTGTGCAAGTTCTTGTCTTTTTTGAGACTGCAGGAAGTAAAATGGTATAACACAAAGCCTGTACATGCCAGATGAGACATGTAGGGACAACAGAAAGCAACATGAGCGGCAGATGTCCACGTAGGCCTGAATTCATTTAGGACGGTCATGCTCAGAGGAGCTGACATCTATGATACCCACCGTCATAGACGCACTGCTTCAGCGCTGCACTGAAGGTGAGGGGAGGGTCGCAAAAACAGTGAAAGGAGCCGGGCGTGTTTTCACACCTCCCATTCTTACAGTACGAGGGGTCCTGGCACTCATTCACATCTGCAAAGGGCACCACAGACACTGGTTACAGTATGAACATCTGCTTGGAGCCGATTATTTATCTGAAAGTATTAGACACAGGAATAAAAGACTCATAGTTTTGGTTTGGTTGGTAATCAACAGTGTCATTTGTCCACCCATCAACGTCTTTCTTGCTTTCTGTTAATGTGTTTACCATAAAAAGTGAGTTTTGGTCATGCAAAATCCATGCAATAACACTGCCATATCTGCACAACGGTTATAGGTTACAACAGGAAGTTTGGATCCATCAACACTGGGTTCTTGAATGTGAAAAGATATTTGCAAGCAGTTGGCAGAGAAAATGATACTATACATGATAGTATCTGCTGGGGAGGCTGAGGTTTTTTTAGTTTGTTTTCTACTTAAAGCTGTATATAACCAAATATGGCATGATCAAACAAAAAACAATGAATGATGGTCCAGCACACACTTTGAAGACATGTTTAAAGGAATCTTCCACATTTTCCATACTTATTTAAAGTCCAGCTGTCTGTAGTTTTAACTCAATCTGATAACATTTGATCGCTATGAATCCCGTGCTTAGCATAAGAACATATTAATATATAATGGTACAAGGAGCCAAGGTAAACATGAATATATACTTTTATGACTGAAAATGGCAAACATTGTTAGCAACAAACTAAACGGTCAACACTGACATCCACTGTCACCAAACCAGGCCTTGCAAGAGTCCACAAAAACACTCAATAACCACACACCTGTTGGGAGTCTAGAAGCCAAATAAAACATCAGCCACAATGGCAAGAATCAAAAACATCTCCCTGAGTATTTTCAGTAAAGTGTGTGGAGCAGAGGCTGGAAATTTGCAGAGTACCTTTGGTTATATTATTGTATCAAGGCCTTTTGAATTGTGTTCCTCATTGCCATTCGAACACCTTCCAGCCTTCATTTAGCTGACCTCAGGTGAAACAGGTGAACTACACCTGCTCCTGTGATGCAATACATGTATGTTATTCTTGTATTTTCAGTGTATGCAACTATAACACTCATTTAATAGGAACTTAATTGTTCCCAAAAGGTAACTTTAAGCAGCACAGGAAATGAATCAACACATTTTTTGTGTGTTTTTTGGTTTACTGTGATTTAACTGAAGTTAGTTGTTTAATATTTCATTAAACAACATACTCCCACAGCAGTTTGGGTTTTTAGTGTATGTTGAGTACTTTCAAGATCATCCCTCTGTAATTCCTCCCTTTCATGATGTTAGTAAAATGCTCAAAGTCTTAAATTAAGATGACTAAATCTCTCCTCAGCCACCCAAAATTGGTTGAAAACACCTACCTGATTTAGCATTGCATACTGGACTGATTTACTCACCTCTTTGATGCATTTAAAAAAGAAAACTGAATACACAATGTACTTTCTTTCTACTAAATGTGATATCATTATCTTCCAGTTATGCTGACTCTTACTTATTCTTGAGTATTTTTAAAGGGGTAGACTCAAAGGTTTGTCAATTTCAACTCTCAACTTGGCTCAGAAATCTGAATCTCACACACATGTTTCAGCTCCAAAAAATGTAGACGGTCTTCTTTTCATTTCACTTATTTTTCCAGGATGAACTGCTGTTGCCCTCCCCTGCCTTGTATCTACACTCACCAGCCTGCTCCTCAGGTGTCACACAGCTGTTACGATCGATGGCTAAGGTCCAGGGTGGGGAGCAGATGCAGTAGTACGACCCTGGTGTGTCCACACAGTGGCCGTTCTTACAGTTCTCTTGGTCCTCACACTCATTCACGTCTATGGAACAGAAACGTCAGCTCAGGGCTTACAATCAGCTCCGTCATTAGACCAATAAATAAATAAAGAGTGAGCTGTCAGGGTGAAGATCATTTTACCCACCTGCTTTTGTTGTCATCACACACTTCTTCTTATTGGTATCTGGAGACCAGGGCGGATGGCAGTTGCAGAAGAAGGAGCCTTCAGTGTTGACGCATTGACCGTTGGTACACAGAGACTCATCATGGCATTCGTTTACATCTGAGGGACAACAGGAAACCATGAAGAACATCATTTGTGTATCTCTACGTTATTGAAACAAACTTTTATAACATTTGTGACAAAAATACTTGTATTTAAAGTTTGTATTATGATTATTACCAATGCATTCAAGGAGGTTATTGTCATAGTAGAAGCCCTGCTGACAGTAGCACTCGTACCCCGGCAGTGTGTTTTCACAGCGACCTTTTTTGCAGATTTCATCAGCAAACAGAGAGCACTCATCGATATCTGTCGAAAAAAAAAGAGGAAAATATAGTCTGAGCAGCAGACTAGAAAAGGGGTCATCAAGGGAACTATCACTGAATGTTATGAGAATGGTTAACCCATCTTACAACAACAAATGAAACAAATATAAGGGACCAAAAACTCTTTTAGACAAGGTTTAGGAGAGGTATAAATAGGCCTTTGGGCTTCAGCCTGCTGGTTAAATGATTGTGTGGAGGATATTGTGTGAAATCAGAAGAGAAAATATATAATATTTTGTTTTGTATTTTGTTTTTGGTAGTTTCTGATTCGTACAAATTGTAATGCTTTGTCATCAAAACATAATGTATAACCAAAATAAATTTAATTCATTCATTCATTTTTCATTCATTCAAGGATCATAATCAATTTGGATCCTGGGAGTGTTTGAGTGTACTAGTTAGTATTATGATATCTACCATGGTAGGCTGGCAGGCTGTACATTAGTCCTTCATCGTAGTAGAGACCCTGCCCATTTGGACACAGGTAGTGGAACTCAGCTGTGAAGAGCAGACAAGGCGGACAAGTTTATTTACCAGTCGATAAGATAAAAAGTAAGTAGAGAATGCAAATGTTTATATTCTGCAGGATGATTGACAGAATTGTGTTTTAGTCCATGCAGACTCTACTTGCAGACTTCTCTGTAAGTGTACCTGAGTGTGATACTGGACAGGGGTAGATCTCACAGTGATCTCCCCACCCCACCCCGATGGAGCAGCAGCACTCCTGCTTGGTGACATTGGTGGCGAGGACGCTGTCACAGAAGACGGTGTCATCCAGGTTCAGGTAGCACTCCTTCTTCTCATCAGTCTGTACTCGAACTGCTGTTCAAGCAAATAAAGTGAATGTTAGAAAACTGGAGCTAAAAGAATGACCGAGCCAGACTAGACTTCAAATTGGTGTGCCAAGTTGGCATTTATTTAATTTTAGAGCTTTAAATTGATGATGGTTGTCTGGCTTTCACTGTCTCCTATTTGTGTTTAGAGTTAAATATTTTGGGTTTTAGGACACGCAGAGATCACATGTTCAGGCCTGGGTAAAGCCTTGGGATAAATGCGGCTCTACAGTGAAGCAGAAGGAATCAGAGCAGGCTTACCCTCACAGCTGTGTTTGTCCTCTGAGAGGACGTAACCGTGATTACAGACGCACAAATAGGAGCCCGGTCTGTTCTCACAAGAGCCATAGGGCTGGCAGAGATTTCTGTCCGTGGCACATTCGTCTATGTCTGAAAAGGAAGTCACACATCAAACGTCAACATCGAGCTGCAAAACAATGATCCTGTGCTTTTTTTTGTAGAGGTTTTGATGACATGATATATTGATTTATTTTCTATGATAATTTAACATCAGAAGATGTGATGTCAACAGCATGTATGCAAAAATAGCTTTGGGTGATGTGCCGAAATATGATACAAAATAATGATGGTTTGTAAAAGTGGAAAACTCTCCGCTGTGGTTGCAGTTTATCTTTTTGCAAAGAGCGAATGAACTAGCAAAAGCTCAAAACTTGATCAGAAGACAGATTTTAATCTTTCTGCATAAAAGATGAACTTTAGAGACGCTCAAAGATACTTCAACCAAACACTCAATCACATTAACTTGGTCAGAAACCTTCTACATATGTGTTAGTTTGTAAACACTACTGAGACTAGTACCAACAAATAACAGAGAGCATCTAATTTTCTAATGCTGGATCGACTTTTATGATCTGAAACGACTGACCTTGGCACCTCCTGCCTCCAACCAGTGTGTAGCCTTTCTGGCACTCACAGTGGTATGAGCCCATACTGTTGATACAGCGGCCACGCTGACAGTTTGATGGCCTCTCGCACTCATTTATATCTGAGGAGAAGGAAATAAAAACAATGTTGGAATGTGAAGCATGTGCTGAGTAGTTTCCACAGTCATTAATGGCTTGATAGAAGAACTTGAGTTGGAAAGTACAACACCGATAAGTTCTAAGAAGACTATAACATGTCAGTAGGGGTTTTGAGTAACATGAGCATGATTAAAACACAGATTTTGAGGGATGAATCCTGCCTTCACAGTGGCTGCCTTCCTGTGTGCGCTGGTATCCTGGGTAGCACTGGCACTGGAAGGAGCCCTCTGTATTTAGGCAGTGACCGTACGCACACAGCCTGTGGTCCTCACATTCATCAATGTCTGTTTGGAGAAACCGACAAATGAGCTAATGTGAAAAATTATAGCCACTGAGATTTCTTTATCACATTATAAGCACCCGAGGAACTCACTCCACCCCTCAATAAGAAGATTTTGAAACTAATGTGATGGAAAGTTGGTAGCAGTACTTACCGCTGCAACCTTTGCTGTCTGAATTTGGTAGGAAGCCCTCGTTGCACAGGCAGCGGTAAGTACCAGGGAGGTTCTCACAGCGCCCGTTGGGACAGATTCCAGGTTTCTGACACTCATTAATGTCTGATGGAAGAGAAAGGAGAGATTAGAAGGAAGTAAACTACAGTGACGCAATGATACAGAAAATGGGGATGTCACACAATTTCCTCTAACTTTACAACAATAGAACTGAGCTCATGCTTGGGCAGGTTGGAAATGTGTTATTATTATTATAATTATTGCATGCCTATTGAAAATGCATGCTTTATTTTAGGGGGACTACTGAGTTTGATATATAAAGATATAAATATATCACATTAATGGTTTTGAAAGGCTAGCTGTTGCAAAGTCTCAAGATATGTACTTTTGGTAACACTTATCTCTATAATGCATTGTAAATATATGTATAATGCGTTATAATCATGTTCTAGCACTGTATAACTATAGTTATAAACACTCATAATGCTTTATAGCAATAATCATAATACATTATACATAATTTTACCATGAATTACAAGGTCAGGTATTATAATGAGTTATAACTGTTAACAACTCACTGACAATGCCCACATAGATAATGCATTATACATATATTTATGATGTGTTATAATTTGCTTATAAACTTGTATAACTATCATTATAAACACTCATTAATCATAATTAGGCTTTGTAACAATAAGCATAACACATTATAACACATCATACACATATTTATAATGCGTTATAGAGATAGGAGTCAAGTAAAGTGTTACCGTAATGTTGTTATCCTTCTAGTACAGACACATAGATAAAATCATTTCATTAGTTTCATTTTATTTTCCACGGTTTGCAGAATATTCTAAATAACTGAAACACTGAGGTTTACTTATTGTGCCCCCCACTCCCTTCAATAATCTATCTTGGACTTAGTATTTATTGCACAAAGTTTGCACAATCAAAGTAACAATATTGCCAAAGGTTTAAAACTGCATATGTAGCTGCCCAACTACTGAGCACAATAATAAGGCCGTTGAAACACATTAGATAACAAAGAGTTAAAATAAGTGAATAAGTGATGAATTTTGATTTATGTTGGGGTTGCACTCACCATAGCAGGTGCCTGATCGAGCCTCATGACCAGGCAGGCAGGGTACACACTCATAAGAGCCTGGTGTGTTCTCACACTGCTCATTAGGACAAGTGTCGGGATTCAAACACTCATTTATGTCTGGAATAAGTGAGGAGAAGTTTTACAAGCCCGTGTTTGGACTGAGACCAATATTCATAAACCACAGACTAAAGCATGATATCAGGGCACAGGCATAAAGACTGTAATGTCATCATAAAGTCTGAGCACTCATGCCCATAATGTCATAATAACCAGTGTCTTTGTACCTTCACAGGCTGGCTGACGGTGAGACCTGCTTCTAAAGCCACTGTGACATTCACATTTGTATGAACCAGGGAGGTTCAAACAGTGGCCTCCAACACCACAGATGTCTGGTTTTGAGCACTCGTTCACATCTAGAACAGAGACAAAAGCGCTCATGTACAATCTGATATTTGTAGAAAAACAATGTGATGTAGAAATCACTAAACTTAACTTACCTACGCACTTGAGTCTGCCATGCTGTACCATGTGTTTATAACCTAAGCGACAGTTGCATTTGTAGCCTCCATCTGTGTTGCTGCATTGTCCTCTGCCATGACCACAAGGTTCTGTATCACATTCATTAATATCTGAACAACAGGAGAGAGACGACAGAGAGGCACTCTGTCAACATTTTAAAACATTGTTTAATATTGCAGACACTTGTAGACATTCATAAAGCTCAGAAGACAGCAGTCTGATTTTAGGAAGACTTCTGCATCAGATATTCAAGAATATTTTTTCAGTGACACCACTCTCCCTTACATACCAGATGTACTTCCTTGAGGAACAAAAGCTTTTACAGTTAACCTTACTTCTGACAAAAGGAAGACTACTTTGTGTATACACCTTAACACAAGAACAGAAGCATCATCAACAAAAAAAATCAAAATATTTATCTTAAGTCCTCCAAATAAACCCTTTTAAAGCTCCACTTAAGATTTTTTTGTCTATGTTGACTTTGGAGCCCCCTGTGGTCAAAGTGGTAACTCTTTCATTGTCGCTGATTTCGTGTCATCCAAGGTGAAATCTATTATTCACCATGAGTATTTTCTTCCGGATAAAAAAAACTAAGGCCGTATGTCAGTGTACCTGCCCATTTACAGCTGTTGGGGGCATTAAAAATTACAACATAGAAATCAATGTGATCAACGGTCTCATTTGCTTTTGTAAATCATGGAGACATGCTGGTGTTTATGCCAGTGTTGCTCAAGCTTTCAAAAACTCCTCACAGGACCTTTAGGGTAATAAAAAGTACATGAAAGTTTTGATAGAAATACCCATCATGGCTCTTAAGTTTTACTTTTTACTCTGATACATCCCCAAACATGTCCTGGTTGTACAAACCTTTAAAACTCCAGTAAGGAACTTTCTGTTTTTGTTGAGTTTGGCGCCCCCTGAAGACAAATGATATGTTGTCTTGTCCATATGTAAGTAGCGTTTAAAGATTACAAAAAAAAAAGAAGACCTGAATACCTTAATTGCCAAAATGTAAAATGTGAAAAAGCGTTGGGTTTGTACACCCTGCTGTGACCAGGAGTATATAAAATAACGGGCAGAGCAACAGTTTATCTGAGTGAAGCTAGTGCTGTTAGAGCTCCCCCTGGTGTCTGACTGCAGTATGGGTAGTAAAGCCTACCTCCTCTATAACAAGAACAGGCGGGACATGAACCAAACTATAAAATTTTAATATGATGAAGTTTTTTAAAACAAGTTTACTGTCACAATAGTTTCTTCTCATCAGGCTAATTGCTGTCAAAAGTTTTATTTTTTTGGTGACAATTTTGTGTTGAAAAGTTATTGATGATCGTGGGCTCTCACAGCATTTTTTACCACATCTATAGATCAAAGGAGGAACAACAAAAGAAGATAAGTGACAAACACTATCTAAAGAGGCATCAAAATTTGCAAAGCCATGGGCGTTGGCTTTATATAAGCACAGGAATCTATTCTGCTGTGGACTTTGCTGACTTGGAGGATCTTTGACATTTTATTGGTTAGTTAAGTATGTGTCCTGGTTAGCTTCATCAGCCAATACCGCCTCTGCCTTTGGTTGGCTTTACCAGCACAGTGTGTCAGCACCTTACCAGGATTATGTGGTCCTTAAAGATATACTTAAACTAATAATTCATTCATCCGAAAGTGACCCAAACTGGGGCCACAGAGGACTTTATATCCTAACTTTTAGTCCCATAAGTCAAGTCTAACAAAAATCCTTTGTTTTCAATACATAGATACAAAACTGGATTGAAATAATTGGATTTCAAAACCTAAGTCAACACTCTGATAATAAACTGAGCAGTAATCTGGTTAAACTCCATTTAGAACACACCACTTTGATCACTATAATTTAAACATTAACTCTGCTGACAAAACATAGTTGCTTCAATCATTTTGATTATACTTAAACATGTAAATAAGGCCTGACAAGCAACAAGACACTGCAGGTATGATGAGGTTGAGGCAGCTCTTTGTAGAGACTTTTTTTTTTTTTTTACATTCTCTTTCATCATTTCTGAAATGAATCTATTTTTAAATTTCACAGGACAAGAGCTGCTGGACACGATTTCTTCACAGCTCATAACGTGAACTTGAAGCAGCAGGTGGCGTGTAGATTTCTTAGAACTAGAGCGAGCTAATGCGTCTGCCAGGGGGACACCCACTCGTGCATGAGAAACTTCAGTAGGAATTTCTTCCCACAATCCATCAGAGTTCCATCCCTGCACTGTCTCCACCGTCGTCTCTTACCCTCACAGATGTTCCTCTGCGGATTGAGACGGTAGCCGGGGTGACAGAGACAGATGTAGCCGTTGGGGCTGTTCTCACACTTTCCAGGACCACAAATGTTCCTGCCTTGCTTGCATTCATCTGTATCAGCTTCAAAGAGGGAAAAAGGAGTGGAGAAATTTCATAGACTGTATATATACATGCACATATATACAGCGGGTTCAAACATATTTCTACATAGATATATATTAATACAGCTGTTAACATATATTTATGTGTTGAGATGTTACACGGAAGCCTTAAATGCAAGTGAGGATAAGAATCTTGGTGATGCATTTTCAAACTCTGATCCAAAATGTTTATGACCTGAAAAATAGGAAAAAAATGCTTCTTGCATGTAAAGTTTTGCTGGCTCTTGAAAAGTTTTTCCTTCCTTCTCAGGTAGGCTGTAAAAAATTGAGGGCTCATTTTTACTGAAAAGCAATATGTAAATAAATAAATAGTAAATCTCATTACTGCTGTCATGACTGTATAGAACAGGCAGTAGGATGTGCTTGAGCCTTTGAAGGCCAAAATCAGGGCTTTGATAAAAATGACAAGATAAAGAATGTACTGAAAAAAAGTGCCTTTTGTCACATTTTTCTTTTAAGTTAAAAAAGTTCATTTAAAAAATGATCCCTGTAAACTTTTCGCAGTTGAAACTTATTCCAATATTTCTCATCAAAAAGTAACTTTAAAATGGTATCCAAGAGAAATGTTTTTTTTCCACGTGTCCCTTTTTTTACACCTTATTCACTGACAATAAGAAAAGAACTATGATTGTGTATGTTTAAGAGCACATTTTCCCAGTATAAGAAAACAGTTTGTTAGATTTTGAAAACGGATCAGCAGATTTTTTTTTCACTTACAGTTTAAGACTTCCATACCGACAGCATCCATGCCATACCTCATTTCCTTGTGTGTGTGAAATTCAATCAATTTGGGCAACAAAGCACATCTGATGTCTGTGAACTACATTTTGCATTCCTTAAAGGGGTCTACTTCTAAATCAATGCAAAAAAAGTCAGAATAAGGAAAAGATTCGAGCAGAAAAATGAAAGCAGTGATTTCTGACATTAACAGGAAAGACTTTTCTTTATTTTCATCAATGCTTTTCATTGAAATGTCTTTGTAGACTGTTTAATGGAAGTGTGTGTTGAAAAACCTGCAATGTATGCACATTATGGCAACACTTTTCTGCCATAAGAGAGAGTGAACGAAGCCTCAGGGCTGGTTCATGCTTCGTGGGTTTAAAGCACACAACATGCAGAGTGTCAAAACCGCCACTTTACTGTGCAGATACATGCAAACGATTAGATATCACTCAATCTTGAAGTTATGATACCAACAGGGATTTCTTCATTTTTCGATTGACTCATTTGCATGCCATTATAAATTAGGCTTCCTATGTGGGGAAAGTCAACATGTCACTTTAAAGGAAGTACCAAAAGCTCACCAAAGTATCTACTTTTTCAGGGGAATTTGGAGAGCTTGGTTTTTCCAGTTTTTTTGGAGCACAGGAAACATGAACCAGCCTTAAAACTAATGAACTTCTTATATGCTTAAAGCTAAAGAGATGTCTGATGTTTTGAGTGAGTTTGAAGTTTGCAGGGAACTCACGCAAGACTTTGGTCTGTGTTTCGAGGGGGTATTTGTCCGGGGTCATTCTGATGATTGTTGGAGGGGTGGGTTTAACAACTGTGGATCCAGCAGAGGAGAGTTGAGGAGGACAAACTTTAGAAGGAAGTATGACATGTTGATCTTAAGTCCTGTTATTTTAGTCATCACCACACATGTGGGAAACATCTGTGTCACTTTCAGTTAGTGTTACAGTGATAGTAGATCTATATAAAGAGGTAAGTTTACCTGGCACACGAACACTGATGGTGCTGGTCGGAGCCTGCTGAGCTGCAGTCGTCATTTCTGGACGCCTCTCCTGGTCAAGAGATATTGCCTTATTCCGTAACAGCAAAAATAACCATTTTCTAATGGCTGGATTAAAATCAGGATAATGTCTTACCGGCAACTTTGGCTCTGAAGAAAAAAAAAAAGAGATGGAGGGGAATGAATAGAGTGAGCTCACCTGATTCACACTTAATGTTGAAAATGAGTGATGAAGTATGAAGGACTAACCTTTCTTCTCAGGCTTGCGTGGGAAGATGATGGGAGGGAAGGCCACAGTCTCTCTTATGTTCTGGAGAAAGTAGCCTTTTCCTGCTGGGCAGATCTTACTGAAGGCCACTGAGCAGCACAGGGAAAGGAGGAGAGTTCATCAATTTTTTCAAAATCTGAGATTTTGCAAACCCACGCAGGCTGTCATGTCTTAACCCTCCTCCTGTGTTAGGGTCTGCACCGACCCGTTTTTGGTCTTAAATGCTTAAAAGACCCACTTTAACTTTTTTGCATCAAGACTTTTCGACTTTTTCAGGAACCTCTATTTCAACAAAATAGAAATAAAGACATTAAATTGACTAAATTATAAAATGCTCTTATTAAAATTGTGGCACTTGCTGTGTTAGGGTCACGTTGACCCGGTTAGATTAATATCTAATAATTACAGCAAAAATTAAAATCATATGTGCACTGTCAGGCACCACACTGACAGTCAGATCCTCTTCCAATCATGTGAGATTTGGGAAATTCTAATTTTTCCCTGTTTTTTCCTGCACAAAAAACCGTGTCGGGCATGTCCTGACATGTGAGATCAGTTCAGTACAGATGTCTGTGTGAGCGGTACACTGATAAAGAAAGGCCCAGAGGCCCACAGCAAAAAATGTTATAAGCTATAGTTTCCTGGCTAATGAAGGCTAACAAGATAACATACAGATGAGAACCAAATTGGATGATAGAGAATTGTTTTTAGTGTAATTTACAGCTGATTTAAGACACAGGTCGAAACCAACCTTTAACACAGTGGGTGCGTAGTAGAAGCTAACACAGGAGGAAGGTTAAAATCACCTCCAGTTTTTTATTATTATTTTTTTTTATCATTTCAGTATTTTGATGACAGCAAACATAATAGATCATTTTCTTGAGTATTTTTCATGACTCATTTAAATGTTATGAGAGAAATAAAAACAAATACAGATATTAAAATTTAAGCTGACTTGTAGACCGGTCTATGACATGACTGATTTATCTCCACTCATTTATTTAGTCAAAACATCAGACATCGCCTGCCTCTCTTTGTCCACTCACCTGTGCCCACCTGAGGACATCTTTCACAGTTGTGGCCCCAGGCTTTACCCACAGTGCAGCAACACATCTCCTGTGTGAGGTGGGTGGGCAGAGCGTGTTCACAGCCCCTGTTGGGTGACGCTATCAAGAAGCACTGAGCCTGCTCTGCTGGAGACTCTAAACAAGGACACAACAGGGTTTAATTTAAAAAGCCCTGCTTTATGATGAAATTCTGAAAAGCATAAAAGAGAGACATTTCCTGGATAGCCTCTGACTCACCAACACAACGATTCCTTTCCAGAACCAAACCGGGCTTGCAGGAACATTTAAAGCTCCCCAGAGTGTTCAGACAGTCTCCATTCTGACAGACGCCCTGTATCGAGCACTCGTTGATATCTTCATGGACAAGGGGAAGGAAATAAAAGTTCAAGGTTATAGTCATACACTGTGATGAATGATGTCTATTCAGAAAGCAAGTGAAGGAACCTGTGGCTTTAATTAGCGAAGAAAAAAACTGGGTGTGACATGAACACACTTAGCTTTGCTCTTGTGGTAACTTATGACCTGGTAGTGTTACCTTGACAGTGAGTGCTGTTAAATCTTTTATAGCCTTGTGGACATGTGGAGCCGTAGTCCTCTACGATGGTGTGCTTGACAGATGCATCTAAGGAGGAGAAGACGCAACAAAGCACAGACAGGAGGGTGAGAAAAGCTCGGGCATTTATAGAGATAGGCTGCAGGCAGATGGTAGCAAAAATAAAAATGCAAAAACTTTTCACAGTAGTGGTTGTTAAAGTTTGAATACTTTTAGCATAACAATTTCAGCTTCTATAAGTGCTACTTTTATGGATAAGAAAAAAAAACTTTGAAGTTCAAGGTAATTAAGATTTTACAGGACTTTTTTTCATCATCTTAAAACAGCACAAATCAACAAACATCCATCAACTTTTGTAACAGCCTGAAAAAGACACTGCACCGTCTTTGTACAGTTATTCAGCCTTCTCATTTCTTAAATAGTACAGCTCACTTTGATGCAACTATAAAGAGACAAAAGAAACCAAATCTCAGAGAGAGATGAGGAGAAAAAGGGATGCAACCAAACAGTAACCAAAATAATTTATGATTTTTTCCCCTTCTTCTCTTTACACATGATGCCATTTTCAGTGAGGCATGGGTGTTTCAGTATCATACGATGAATGATAAATTCCGGGGCTTGTTGTCACACTTTTTACAGTCTTATATATTTCATGAAAATAATACATCATATATCAATAAAATGTGTACCAGATGAAAGACCAAAGTCTTAGGTATATATTTTGTATTCATGTAATTTTCATATATTGTGTCAGTGCAGAGTTATAAGCATTAAAAAATATATAAAGTTATTTTTTTTTCTACTTTGGGTTTTGAGAAATGGTTTATTGGCACTCATCTCAGCTGCAATGTGCTCATCTCCTCTAAGACAGGATATGAGCCTTGGCTATGTAAAGGAAGACAACTAGTATTCCACTTTTTAGTTGTGTCCTCTGGTGGCAAAGATAATTGCAACGTGACAACTTACCCATGTAACAACAAGACCTGGTCTCCCCCAAGCTTGGGAAATAACTGTGGCAGTGGTTTTCTTTGATGGGTAAAACAAATTACACTAAATATACTGTTTCACAACTGCTCTTCATCAGACAATTTATGTTTTTTTGCTACAAAGCAAAATTTCCTACACTATCCAACTATTTCATGACTGCATACTGTATGCAGCAGTCTCAAACCTAAATTCTGAGATTCATTATCTCATTACAGTCACAGTTTAGAAGCTGAGTTAGATTTTTGACCATTTCTGCGGCCCAACAGTTTGATATTTTTAAGTAATATGCTTCTTTACTTGGAGGCAGGGAGAGGAATGAGAGTCCTGATACAACTTTCTTATCTGTTAGCTGGCAGCTAGCTGGTTTAGCTCAGCAGAAAAAGAAAAACAGAGAGCAGCTACCATGGCTCTGCAACTCCACCTATCTCCATCTCTGAAACTTAGACCGAGAAAGGTTGAGTAGTTTTTGTTTTGTTTTGTTTTTTAAGTAGATTTGAATTGAATAGAATGAGGTGTAATGTTTCTAAGTGTCCAGTTTTTACTTTAAGCTAATATGGGGATAACTGGTAGCTCACTTTGTATTTGCTGTACTGATCCACTCATCCATTGTTTTTCCAAAAATAACCAAGCATGCCTCCAAAACTTAAAATAGGCACAACGTAACATTTTGGCTCAGTTTTTTCCTGTTGGACTTCGTCTAATTTTCCTTTTTTTTCCCTCAAGTGACAGCTTTTGTGGGTCTTTGATGTGGACTAGCTTCCCTTTCATGAGCTCATGATTCATGTTTTATTCACGTTTCTATTAGTTCTCTTCGTAAGCCTTGAAGCACTTACTCAGAAAAATCTTTTTTTTCCATGAGGGAGTAGAAACATGTCGAGCTGTTTTATTAGAGAGCTGTGGGAAGGCTGTACTACTCACACGAACATTTTCAAAGCACAATGACAGGAGAGTATCAGCTCAATTTAGCCGTTTCCATCAAAAAGAGAGAAGCTAATAAATGAATATGAGAGTAGCAGAGCTGACAGCGCTCTGGGCAGGAATCCAGTGGCATAAAGACTAACCAGACGTACAGTATCAGGTTTTGTCAAAGGCTGCATTGTCTGAGTCAGAACCGGGAGATGGAATAATAGCGGAGTGGAAAAACGTGAGTAGCCAAGATTTTCTTGAAACTCAATCTCGAGCAATGTGATGACAGTCCTGCACTGGGCAGGCTCATAGGAACATGTTTAAGTGGAGGGTTATTTTCCACATTCTCTCTTTCTGTCTCACTGTCTGTGTGTAATTCCCGTAATTTCTTCCGTTTCCAAACTCTTCACAGACTCCACACCCCACTTTACCACTAACTTTCATGAACACGCTTTTATAGAGGTATGAAGTGATTGTTTTAATCTGGGGCTGCAATTTCATAAGCTGAATGGAATGAATTGCTAAGAATGCTTGACATTTTTTGGCCCGATAAACAATAATTTATTTTCGGGAAAACACAAACGGTGGATTGTTTTAAAAACTCTTAACTTGGTGTCCTTTTATCTGACTGTAACAAAGAAATTCAACACAGTGGACAGATTCTACAAAGCAACAACTACATCAGCTTGAAAGTCTGAGTAAGATGTAAATAAAAAAGCAGAGAATTCCTTTCATACACTTTTACTCACTAGGAAGTTTGGGGCACTGATAACACTTGTTTTGTCCCCATGAGTTGCCCACACTGCCACAGCAGTCCTCCTGATTGGTCAGGACAGGAAGTGGGGTGCTGTTGCACTACAGAATGAAACATGAAGAAGAGTTATCTATCAGAGAAAGGGTCACAACAAATATTGTCAGGGTTGTTCATCAGTGCAGTGAGTTTGACAACAAATGCCTCACCGCTTGTTTTGGCGTGGTTTCCTGGAAGCAGCGCCCCTTTGGTTTGTGACCCGTGGGGATCAGGCGAGGCCCTGTTTTTGAGGGAGGCTTGACGTCTGATTCGTCGATAGGTTGAATGACTACGGAGGTGTCTGGCGTGTGATGGACACGTAAATTTACCTGCACTGAAATCGAAGAACAGGAAGGCATCAAAATAACAAACTCAAGACTTTAATACAGTTTGTTTCAACCTGTTAGCTGAGCACAAGAGGGAGAAAGCTAGTCCAACCCTGCGAGAAAATCCTACTTTTAACTTTTTGTCTCATTTTAAAAATGTAAATGTTTTTTTTTTTCTTTTGTACAGATATTAAAGATGCTGGATGTAGTAAAAGTTAAACACTTTTACTACTTGTTTCCAGTATTTGAGTTAAGATGACCTGAAGCAATTCTATACCACACAAATAACAGATTGGGAATCTGTCTTGTCTGTCCTCTCTCCACCCCAACATGTAAAGGCTTTACCCACTGAGAAATAGATGGCTATTAGACGTCTAGTTTTTTGCTTTTTGTTTTTTTTTAGACCTAATTACAACCGTCTAGATTCTGTATATTTTTAGATGGAATTTAGATGTTGCATTTGATATCTATTTATTTCAAAAAGCAACTGTGAGATGCGTAACTGATCTCCAAGTACCTAACCAAAATAATTATGATAGTCGTTGAGCAATATACAGTGTAGTATAGATATAGCCCAGATTTAGACTTGGTCTAAATTTAGACCTGTGGTAGCCTGATTTTAGACCAGTCGTCTAGGCTACATTCAGACATCTATTAGACCTCCTTTAGACCAAAAAATGCTCAGTGGGTAGTATACTTTCAAAATATCAAAATATATTCAGTATGCGCTACTTCATAAGCATTCAAGCTATCTGTTATAATAGAACAAACCTACTTTACTTTCAAGACTAAACAAGAAATAAAAAATTGATATAATAGATACCTTCAGATGAAAAAGGGAGGGTGAAAACTGAGTGTGTTTGTGTCAGCTGTGTGTGCGATATGCTTGTTTGCTCCCCTAGTTTCATGCTGTCTGGTTTCAAAGCGACGGGGTAGACGGGCGACTCGTTGCCTCGTGCTGCTTGCGCTTGTTGCGTCTGCCGAAGTGGAAACTGGCAGAGTCGGCCGGTGAAGCCTGGAGGGCACTGGCAGTGCTTCCTCGAGCTGCATACTCCTCCATTCAAGCATGTCAGGGGACACACAACTGCAGACAGAGAGACAGGGGGAGGGAGAGGTGTTATACAGAGACCGCCAGAGACTCACACAGGTCAACAGTTCAGAGCTGTGAGTCACATTAGAGGAAAAAGTTACACTTAAAAAGCAACATAAGCATAAAAGAGGTTCTTCAACAAAATCCTTGCACAGGAAAACATCACTTTCCTAAATATATCTATTCATAGGTCTAGAATTGTTCATTTTGGATCAATTTTCCCAAAGACAGACGAGGCATGTGATAATCATTTGAACAACCTGAGAGTTATTTTAAAGACAGAAAGTAAAGTTTGCGGCTTAAGCTGGGCCCCATGACATATTCACTTTGAACTGCAGAACTTCGGCTTTGCTGAGGCTAACAGGTCTACTCAGCCAGTCAGCAGCGTGTTTAAACAAGAAAAAAAAAAACAGGTGAAGTCATTGATCTGTTTAACAGCTTTATTCAGACATATGGGAAAGATCTCCAAAAAGTATGGGAAAGCTGCTAGCTGGAGAGAAGTTCATGGTCTATTCAGTATTCACAGCGGCTTTATTGGGTCGCCCATTGTGTTTATTTTAGGCCCAGTTATGTCTGAAATTCCCACAATAGAACAATCAGAGGAAAGAAAGAGAGAAAGAAAGAGGAGAGCTGTGAGGAGAGCTGTGAGTGAGACGTGAATGGAGGGAGAAAACCGAAAGACATCTAAAAACAAACACTGCCACTACAACTAAGAAAAACCACTGACAGCAGCTCTGGGGGAAAATCATAGATGCTGGGTTGTTTAAAGTAAATTTTCAGGAACTGTACTTTCTTTTACAGTAGTTTGATTCAATCTACCAAACGGATGAAGTTGGCTGATTGAATATTCAAGAGCAGTTCTTTTAAGTCAATGTTTGGGCATAAAAATGGTACCTAACATCTACATCCACAGGACACTTATCCCTATCTTATTCAAACAGTGAGAGTTTGCTGCCAAATCCTGCCATGTAAAAGCTGCTACGAGTAACTTTGTTCGCATTGATTTTGGCGCCCCCTGTGGACAAAGTGATGCATCTTATATCTTTGCTGACTTTGCCCTGTACATGTGTAGGTAGCGTTTTAATAAAAAAATTTCACTCTGTCGTCTGTTAACATTCACATTCATCTCTCTGTGTGAAAATTTGCTACAGAAAAATTAAAAACAGACAAACTAGCAAAAACGTCTGATTTCTCAGTGTGTCTGACACCTCCCCACTCAAAGCAGACATGCAGACACACACATTCAAATATACAAAAGTCTCATTTGCTTTTGAAAGTAATAGAAAAACATTACTTTTAATTTCAGTTTTTAGTTCAGGGTCAAACATCTGTGTGTTATGCTGATGGTAAAAAGGAGAGGCTACAAGAAGTCGCTGTTGCGTTTAGCTAGCTTAGCCTCCCATTGCTGTATGATGTGTTTAGCTACAACCTCTAACATTTTGAGGTTACTTGGTACACGGTGACAGCAAATTGGTAAACATCTCTAGGGCTTTGAAATGAACATTTTTCAAGATCGACTCGATAGACACCAGATTAGATAGAAATAAAAGTCAATCTTGATCACGAGTCTTTATCTAACCCAAACAATGTTTGGCCAATTAACTATTGAAAGTTGTTCGAGTGTTAAGGTGACATTTTAGCTCAGAACTCAGTTCTGTAATTTTCTTGACAGCACTACATTCAAGTTAACTACACATTATTCCATCTCAGACCACAGTTTTGGCCCCGGCTTTTATCCAGTTAATGAAATAATGTTTTTCGCCATGTTTCCGCAGCAATTATTTTCCTGTCTCTTTGTTAGCTCCTGTACCTGAGGCTCCATCTAATTATAGCCCTCCTGTCAGCAAACTCATCACTGCATTGTTGTCTCTCAGCACTCAGCCACTTCAATATATTTCTTCCTTTGACTCTGTATAATCTGAAAAACTGTTAAAATTTGTTATCCATTTTTGAGGTTTTAACCACAGTTTTTGCTGCTTCAGCTCATAGTAGATACTGCACAACTGCTCAGTGCAATAAGGGTGAGGTATTGTTTTACTTTCCGTTATGTATACTTGGAAATTCAAAACAATGCACCACATAATTGTTATAGTTTTCCCTGCCCTTTAAACAAAACTCTGCTTTGTGCACTTGACTTGTGGATTTATAATGACCCCATGTGCTTACATTTTCAAACAATAACTACTCCTTACTGTTTGTAGCCACATAAGCTGTCTAACAGTCTAACATTGACATTTAAAAACCCACACAAAACAACCTGAAAGTGGATTCAGGAGAGGAGAGGAGAGGATGGAAGAAAGGAGAGGAGGCCACTCTTTGCCGTAGAGCCAAATGTGCACATATGGAAGTAATTAGGAGTGTGGACTGCCAGGGCGTCTGGGTTGCAGCATAATTAGGGGACTAGATCACTTTAAACACAGCGGGGACATCCTTGCATAGTGAAAGTTACAAAAGTTAACAATGAAGCAGGAAAATCTTTTAATCTAAAGCTAGATGTACTCCTCAGAGGCAGCCTCTCACTACCAAACACTGTGTGACAGTGGTCTTAAACCACTGGGACTGAGAGCAGGCAGTGACATGCAGAATAGAGCCAGAAGGCTGAGAGATTGCAGACAAAGTACCGAGTATGAAGAGGACAAAAAAACTCGACTTTGTCTGACTACCTCTGACATAAGCACTCCAGTTTCCATGGTTCAGATTTCAACCCTGTACTGGATTTAGAAAGGCAGGAAAGTGGGAAAGATGCGGGGGCTGAAGATTGGGATTGCAGACACAGAAAGTAGCTCTTTCCAAATGTGATTACACAATCGTAGCCCACAGAGACCAGGAGAGACCACATACAGCAGGGAAAGTCTGCTCTGAGGCATGGAAGATATCTTAATGAAACCGGCTCCTTGATGTAGCACGGGCAGGGTCAAAGCCTCACTAATGAACACTGAGGAGGGGAATCAGGTTTCAGACTTCATGGGTGGGGATCATTAGAGTGAGATCTGTTGTGAAATGAACCCAGTGTGGTGCCACGCAACACACAGTGCAAAGTACAACACACAGCTGCTACTGCCAGAACACCTCTTTTAGCAATCATTTGAAATACTGAGTCCGAGCCTGAAATCTCCACTGAAAATAACTTCTGATGCAGGGAGCCTTTCTGATCAGTTGATTTTCTCACATGAAACTGTGTATTTCACCTTAAATGAAATCATTACAGCATATGGGGGGCATATGTGAGGATGTGCGCTGGATGGATGGCTTTAATGTACATATTTCCTATGTCTATATTATGCTTTGTTCAGATAGCAACAACAAATTGTAAAGGAAAATGATTGGCAACATAAAAAACAGAGTGTGGCTTATTGTGACTGAAAGAGTGAAGCAGAGAGCAGAGGCTTGAAAACATTTGAAAGTCTTTGGATAATTTTATGTAACAGGATCAGTCACATTACACCCAATTCCTGGTCTGCTTAATACAGACCTGATTAAATGGTCATGTACATACCCTCACTGTACTCCACACTTCAGTGCACTTTATAATGTAATCAAATGTCCCAATTAAATTATAGATACAGGATTGATAAGTTTGTTTTAGTCAAAGAATTTTGACTAAAAAAGGCAGTGTCTCGTGCGATTCTTCTGTTTCCACTAAATCTATTGTATTATATACACTGTAATCATCTTCTTTAAAGCTCTTGTGAGGAGTTCTTTCAGTGATGCTTCTTAATGAGAAACAAGTGACAAAACCATCAGTGCAAGGACTGATTACTCTTATCTTATAATTTTTGATGTCTGAAACCTTAGGGTAGGTGTCAGGGTCTTAGTCCACTGAGAGGAATTTGACACACAAGAAAATTAGCTCTCATTTATTGTGCCTTACATCCCAGCATGCTTTTGGCAGATTTGCAGATTTACCTGCAATCCCAGCTGCTCAAAGCATGCTACGAACAGCAAGTGCAGAAACCCTCCCTTAAAGAAATGATTCTTGGTTAGTAATAAATGTGTAGCACTTTAATGCCTGAAACCACAAATTATGGCCAGAAAATTCAATTTTTTTTGGAGCTGAAATGTTTATTTCACTTACTATTGAAAACCAAAATAATCAAAATGTCCTTAAAATTTAACAAATATCTTTATTTATCTTGTTTGATATATTAGACGTTTTAGAAACTAATAAACCACAGGAGGACATTTTTTATCATCTATCGGACTGTATTTGGGTGTTTTTTTAGTAATTTGTTGATCATATTGTTTTGATAGAAGTATATAAAAGTATCAAATATGATACAAAAGGCATTCACGGGTTACAAATACCGGTGAAAGAGCAGGCTGAGGGGTGTACATTCAGATCACCTTATAAAACAGGTGCACCATGTGCCTCAAGAGTTCTAACATTGTCTACAGTGTTGATAAAAATAGAAATTGATGGTTTCCAAATTATTTACACCCTCTGTTTAAATAAAAAGACTAGAGGGACCACCCGGCTTGTTATCAACTTACAGCTTAAAAGCTAGAATCCACGGTAGTATGAGGATGCAATATTGCCCATGGCATGAATGTCTCACAAATCTGAGAAGGGATTTTTGTATACAGATGTAGGAGTAACAGTATGCTTTTTTTAGGGAGCAGCTTCCATATTTTCAACAATAAGATGCCAAACTACAATGTGTAGATATTAAAAACAGCATAGCCCTGTAATAGAAAAAAAAAAATCTAGGTGCTAACCTGGCCTGCCTGCTTTCCTGGCATTTCACAAATGGAAACATTTAAGACACAAAAGATACGACAAGGGAGGCCCTGACCTTTAGAGCAGCTGAAATTGTGTGTGTGTGTGTGTGTGTGTGTGTGTGTGTGTGTGTGTGTGTGTGTGTGTGTGTGTGTGTGTGTGTGTGTGTGTGTGTGTGTGTGTGTGTGAGAGAGAGAGAGTGTCTGTGCATGCGGGTGTGTGCATGTGCATACTTCATATATACACTTACCAACCACTTTATTAGGTACACCTGTTCAGTTGTTTGTTTACACAAATAGCTCATCAGCCAATCACATGGTAGAAACTCAATGAATTTAGGCATTTGGGGTGGTCAAGATGACCTGCTGAAGTACAAACCCAGTATCAGAATGGGGAATAAAGGGGATTTTAAGGACATCGTTGTTGGTCCTGTATGAGCTGGTATGAATATTTTGGAAACTGCTGATCCTCTGGGATTTTCCACACACAACCATCTCAACCAGGTTTACAGAGAATGGTCTGAAAAAGAGAAAATATCACAGGCTTTGCGTGGCTTTTGTGTGGATGAAAAAGCCTTGGTGTTAGAGGTCACATGAGAATAAGCAGAGTGGTTTGAGATGATAGAGCGGCAACACTAGGTCAAATAAATATTTGTTACAACCAAGGTATGCAGAATACCATCTCTGAATGCACATTGCACAACACATCGAATCTTGAAGCAGATGGACTACAGCAGCAGGAGACCACACATGGATGCCACTCCTGTCAGCTGAAAACAGGAAACTGAAGCTACAATTCACACAGACTCACCAAATCTGGACAATAGAAGATTGGAAAAACATTTCCTGATCTGATGAGTCTGGATTCCAGCTGTGACATTCAGATGGTAAGGTCAGAATTTGGTAAAAACAACTTGAGATCATGGACCTATCCTGCCTTGTATCAATGTATCAATGCTTCAGGCTGGTGTTGGTGCTGTAATGGTGTGGGGGATATTTTCTTAGCACACTTTCGGCCCCTTAGGACCAAGTGAACATTGTTTAACTGCCACAGCCTACCTGGGTATTGTTGTTGACCATGTCCATCCCTTTATGACCACAGTTAACCATCTTCTGATAATTACCCCAAGCAGATTAATGCACCATGTCACACAGCTCTAATCATCTGAAACTAGTTTCTTAAACATGACAATGAATTCACTGTACTCAGTACTGTACTCACAGTGACCTCCACAGTCACCAGAGTAAGGGACCAAGCAACCAAGCATAGGACAAAGGTATGGAAAAAGATCTTGATCCTTTAATTTTGCTCAAAAAAGTAGAACTCAATAACAAAATATCCAACTGAATGTGGTAGAAAATTAACAAAATCTGGGCCCACACTAAAAGAGGTCAACTTAGCGAAAAAGTTACAACCTAACAAACATAATCAAACAGACCTAAGTGATACATGCCAGGGGTTTAAATAGACAAAGGACTAGTCCAACATAAACACAAGGGGAAAACTAAGATGACTACAAACTAAACATCTGACAAATTCAGAAAAACACCATCAAACTATCCAAACCAACTATTTACAGAAAAAACTAAATACTAAGTTCTGACTGAAAGAATAAAGACAAAAGTTTGTAAAGAATCAAAAGTCCAAGCTTCTCCTTGCCTCCCCCTTCATGGTCTGTCCCATTTCCTATGGGTAGGGCTTAAGAGGCCATCTTGGAGCTGCAGACAGCCTTTTGTCAGGTGAGCTCGGGCAAAGCCAAACAAAAAGGTAAGTATTACTTTGAAATAAAATAAACTCAAATTAAATCATGATGTAGAAAATTAAACCATGTGATGACTTGTGAACTGAAACAAATTTACTGTGCTAAAACCCAAGTTGGTGGTTGAGGCCACCACACCAGCAGAGCACTTTTGGGATGTGGTGGAACAGGAGATTTACATCATGGATGTGCAGCTGACAAATCTGCAGCATCTGTGTGATGCTTTCATGTAAATATGGAAAAAAAAGTACGTCACAAAGAATTAAGGCAACTCTGAAGGCAAAAGTTTCTGTAAGACGCTTTAAATTTTCAACATTCGATCCCAAGATACTTTAACAAGATCATGAGAGAAACTTTTTTTTTTTGCAATTGTTCTTATCCGCATGAATTCCTCATCACGTCACCGGTACCCGGAGAACTCTCCCAGATCTGGCCTTGCCAAGTCAATAATTTAACGAGTCAATAACTTGACAAGTCAATAACTCATTGGGGTAACATTGTTGTTATGAAACCAATGATTCTTTTCAACAAAGTGAGGTAGATGACAAGCTAAAACCTGACTTTCATCAGTACCAGCTGTCCTCTGGGCTGAATAACTCAGCTGTGAGCTTTGCACAGACAGCCGTGGTTCACTTGGGACTGCCAATAAATTACCCCACCAAAGGCCTATACTTTGTTAGTGACACCAAAAAGAGATAGCCTACCTCATAAATACTCAAAAATTGTACCATGGATGGGATACCCGAGATCTCTCAAAAAGATTCCCAGGACACCAAGAAAGTTTCTCTGGACCAATGACCCCCATTCCCAAAAGAAGAGGCGGGTTTCTGGGCTGCTATAGCATCAGTGTTCAGGCTGTCACAACTTAACTTTAAGACTTTATGTCTCCAGCACTGACTGCTTTTTGATGAGCCGTCTAGTGTGTTTTTCTTCAGAGCCCAAGAAGGAAAGAATAATTTGTAACCTATAAAAAATGCAGCCGAAAATCCTCTCTGTTACGTTCGCCTGCTTCATTAAAGTCAAGGACATACAAGCGTTACAAAGTTTAATGTTTTCTGCAGATCCTGTGTTTGAACAGGCGTGTTAGTCCATGTGTGTGTGAGAGTTATTAAGTGAAGGGTGTACTGTCGCCTGAGAGCGGCTGTGGTTGGGTGACTACACCACATTACACACTGAAAAAGGGTAAAAAGCTTTTAAGTTGAGATCATAACAAGGACTTAACTTTCCAGTGGACTTTCCCTTTAAATCATCGCCTCTGAGTTCATTAGCAGAATTTATGCCTGAAATTGCTCATTGACTCTCCTCATCAGTTAGCTTAGCTCACAGAAGCAGCCGCCCTTGGTTTTATACCACGCCTTTGTCTTTTATGGATCTAACACATTCCTCAGACGAGAGGAGGTGTGTTATTAAGAATCAAACGCACCTAGGAGTTGTTTGGTGGTCTGAATGAATGTGAGGCATGAGCCGGGAATGGCTGTCTGAATGAAGGGGGAAGGGACACGTGGATGTGAGGCAGTTGTGCTACTTTTTTCCACATGTCTCACTCAAACTAAAATGGAGGAGGTCGAGAAAAACCCATTCAGAAGCCCATCTATAAAACGTAGACCTACGCAAAACAATGATTACTACTGCCTGCATATGTTAGTCTGGCTGTATTTGTTATTAAAACCACAGCCGTGGATTCAGTCCTTTGCTGTCAGGACTCTGTAACCGTATTTAATATTAAACGTCAGCCTGCAGGTACGTTCCAAGACAGCAGGGTAGCGGATAATTTTCCTACGCAGCATTCAGTCCAACAAGAAAAAGGGGAGTAAACCGAATCCAGAGAAGAAATTGAAGGGAAGAAAGTCTTTGTCTCCGAGCTTTTCTCATCAGATTGTTTCATGTGACATCCGAGTGAGAGCTCCTTCTTCTTCATAACCTCATTATTTACTCCAGGAGGAGAAAGACAGATCTTTTCACAGCAGAGATAACACAGGGAAGATACATGTGTTATATACACAGTTTGTATAAATATCATATATTATGGAAAGGTGAGGGAGTAAGGAGAAGAAAAAGGCAGAGGAGGGAGACTGTGAAAAATAATGTGACATTTTGTTGGGATTGTTGTGATTCCCACACTTTTCCTCTGCTTAAAGGAAAACATACTGTACATTCCTGAACAGTTAAGTAAGCAGGCTCAGTGTAACTAGCAGGATATACTTTTAAAAAAAAAGCCATTAATGTCTATAAAAACACACACAGAGTCAGACACATATTTTCTTTTTTTTTCTAAATTACAGGTAATTTCAGGTAGTGGGAAAATTACTAGTCTGTTCTTTTTATGCAGAAAAATGTCTTTGTCTGAGCAGGGATGTACTGTATGTGTAGTGACAAATAGAAAAAATGAAGGCAGAGAGGAGGAAAGGTTGCCCTCCGAATGCCCCGTGCCCACCCACCCTCTTACTGGGTCTGTCTGGGAGATGACGCATCTTTGGCCCTTTTCTCCCCACGGCGGCCTTTCAGTCTCAGCCACACCCTCCCAGCACAAAAACAACAAATTACAGCCCAACAAACCACAGCTCAAAGCTCCCTGACACGCTGAAATGAAAGCTACTGCAGACATCACACAGATACTACAATAGCCTGATCTGCCCATTTCTTTGAACACACGCAGAATCTGGTAGAAGTACAAATAACACTGACCCAGTCTGCACGATTCAGACACCAACATCCAATGACTGATGCTCAGTGAGTCACTTTCACTGTGATTCAGGCGCAGACTGAATCAACTCACTATGACTCTCAAATATAGACGCCAAAACTCTTTTTGGTCAACATTTGATCATTTTATGGTCATTCTGGCTGACCCACATACAGGAATGCACAATACCAAACCACAATGAGTCGTGTTCTTGCGAGCAAAGTTTCCTTATGATGCCTAAAGTGCGGTTTTAACAAAGCAAATTACAAGGCTTAAAAGAAATTAAAAATAGGTTTGTACAATACTTCAAAACATACAGCATTTCCTGTCTTTTCTTTTTATAACCTCAGTCAGCCATGGCATAAACACTCCTAACTTAGGCATCCAGGATCAATGGTGAACTCGAAATTTTTGGAGAAACTAGTAGTAAACAATCAAAAACCTCCAGTAAATACTTTTTGTCTGTGTGCTGCTTTGTCCAAAAAGCAACTACAGAAGCAATTACCGTGTTTTACACACTATAAGGCGCACTTACAATCCTTAAATAAAGTTTGACTTATCTGACAATCTGGTGCACCTCATAATCTGGTGTGCCTTAATGTATGAAAATAGACCCGAATAGATGCGTTCATTGATGGTGCGCCTTATAATCAGGTGCGCCTTATAGTGCGAAAAGTACGGTATGTTGAAAAGTCTCTTGACATGCCTGTAAAATAAACACCATCATTTCTTGACTCATTACATCCTCCAAAAGAGCAACTATTTATCTGCCTCTGGTGAGTCTCAGTTTCACTGTAAATAGTAAGTTCAGTCACTCTGGCTTCTGTAAGCAGATTGAACCCGATGAATTAAGTGGTTTTTCTGTCATGTACGTACCATTAAGTTTGCCAAAATAGCAACATTATCCTAAATGAAAGAGTAGAAAACGCCTTTTCAAGTGCTTATTTGTTCAATGGTGGTCGGATCGTTTCTGAAGCACTCTGGGATGTTGTGAATCTCATCATAGCAGATTAGTTTCTGCCTGTTTCTCCTCCTAATATGGATTGTTACCTCCACCAAGGAGGTTATGTTTTCGGTAGCGTTGTTTGTTTGTCTGTTAGCAACTTTATGGAGAAAGTTACAGACGGATTGACCTGAAATTTTCACCAGAGGTGCGTCTCAGCCCCAGGAGGATCGCAATAAATTTTGGTGGTGATCCAGACAAAATTCTGGATACTGTGACCCAGAACACACAAAAATAAGGGTGTCGTATGAATTTTCAATGGTGAAAGATAAGCAATGGGCGGCACAGTGGTGTAGATAGGCGACACAGTGGTGTAGTGGTTAGCACTATAGCCTCACAACCAGAAGGTCCTGGATTTGGATCCCGATCGGGGCATTTCTTGTTTAAGGGGGGACATGAGCTGCTTGGCGGAGGTCTGCGCTCTCCGAGTGCTTTTCTAGTTGTTCCTGCATTCAGAACCTGCTCATCTCTCATGTATAATGATGAGTTTCAAATGCACTTTAGGTCATAATTGAGACCTACAAGTCATTCAAGCAAGCCAAGTTAAAGTAAAACCAAAACTTTGATTTATCTTGACAAAACTACTGTATTTCAAACAACAAGAAGACATGTTTGTTAAGCCTCTTTCACACATGCATGCCTGATATTTTCTAGAAATGAGGGGGATGAGCGTCAGCAGGCAGGACATAACATCAGAAGGATAAGTGTGATGTTTACAACATAAAGACAGCTGAAGCAATGATGTCAGCTTTAGTATTTATATAGATTCTCTGATGTGTACATGTGCAGATATTTTCACTGCTCTTGTCTTGATTGCCACTGCTCTTGATATGATTCTTTTTATTCAACCTCTAACGCTTTTATTCATTCTGTTATGCATCCGTCTTTCAAGCCTGCACAATATACAAGTATCAGCTCCTTCTGCTCGCTCACTCCCTTACTTTCTTTTCCTGCTGTGTTGTCACATGGACTAACCTCAAATTCACTTGGAAATTTCAGGTAAGTGCTGCATTCATGTGGTGTTGGACACATGAAAAAACAGCGTCTGAGTTGGAAAATGCACATGAACGCCTGCTCAAGTCAGAACAACAACCTGGAGGCTCTGGCAAGAATTTGGTGCCTGACTTGCCAACTCGATATCATTGGCTGTTCGTCATCAACATGTTTTGTTCATTTAGAAACACTTTGAATTCATGAGTTGCACATCAACTTGTTTCTAAAATAGAATGTATAATATGGTGATGCCATGGGAAGTTGTTAACTGTTTAGACAGTTAACTAATAGCATATGCAAGATACCTAACCCTTAATAAAAAGTCAGGTACATAAGCGAAAGCACTATTTAAATATTCATTACCAATCAATCTTGGTTAAAATTTCAGGTAAGGTGTTGCACAACTCTCTGAATAAAGAGCCCATGAACACACTAATTCAGAAGAACAATCTCCCAATTCAGAAACTGGGACCATCCAAGAAGCACATGAATACAGCAAAAAAGTACTTGTGAAAACTACAGCTGTGGTGGTTCATACATGCAACTCACCTTAGAGTTTTACCATATTTTTCATGCTGTGCTATGGCTATGTCTACATAGGAGACTACACATGATTTCTACCACCTATCTCTTGGCAACTGCGTATTTCTAAAATACAACATCTTAAGATTTTTTAAAGAGAGAAAAGGGAAATAAAAGTTTAGCAAGGATTAATCATAGACTGTATATCCTATGGACATCTTGGTTCCGCCTTCTGCCAGTATACGGATTTGAAACTGAAACACTCTCAGTAATTCAGTGTTTTTTCTCCACTTTCTGAAACCAACATTGCGCAGTAGCATCGTACGCACACAACCACTAGCGCAGTAGCATTGTACGCATTCGGCGGGAGAGATGCCAAGAGTCGCTGTGATGACGCTCGGCTCAAACAGTGATTATGTATCCCCTAGGTGAGCCACACAATCTTTGCATGCCCATAGGTTGTATCAGGTGTCAATCATAGAAAATGTAAACCCCCTAATAACTTTTAAAAACAGAGCTGTACAGAAAAAAGAGGACTTGAGCACAAACCAGTTTTACAATAACTACACGTCAACATCGCAAACAGGGGGGAGAAAAATTTATATTCTATGTAATTAATTTCTAAAGTTTGTCCACAGCTCCATAGGGATTGCTGGAGCAGGCGGGATTTGTGACCTATACTGCAGCCCGTCACCAGAGGGTGCTGTTCTTGGAGTGGCTTCATCTAGCAAGGAGGCAGACGCTGTCCATTCTTTATACAGTCTATGGAATTAACTAAATATGAAACAACTCTCATTGGAGTGATGGTTTTGGTTTTTAAAATGTTTGTCAAATATTCGCCTTACTTTTAGCTCCTGGGGAGGATAAGTCTATTTTGTTTGCTATAGTTCAAGATCCCTCTGAACCCCCGCAACCCCATTTTCTTTTCCTTTTTGAAAAGTCTTTGTGCTGTCAAGGGATTCTGTTATATAATAGGAGTTGAGAGCTCAACAATAGGCTGTGGTCAATGTCCAGCCGGGCAAACTAAAACAATGAACTCAAACTGGCTAAAATTGGCAGGGAGCTGAAGCACAATGGGCTCATTCAGATAACATTGCAGAGTCATTTGACAATCTTATTTCCAAACTACAAAAGTTACATTTAATCAAAAAGTATTTTCATGAATAATCCTCAATGAAGCACATCACTTATTCATCAATCCTTTCTACTGAGTGAATCATGACTAAACAACACTGCGCCCATAAATGGTCAACAGAGTCACTTTTTACAAAGAAAAAAATAGGACGTGCTGCCATCATGACGTGTTTCCCTAAACCATCAGTCCCAGAGGCAGCAAACCACATCCCCACATACGCCTACCATGGACTGGCACTGAATGACCACACGCCAGCCGGAGTGAGAGGGAGCGACGTATGAACTGGGTCAGACTCCTGCAGCTGAGCCAGACGTGCAGAGTAAATGACATAATCACTGCCTTTTGCAAACACAAACCTGCATACACCCCCCCCTCCTCCTCGCTGGAGTCTCTGCGCTCTGTCATCCCCCCTGAAACTCTGAGCTGCCTCAGCTTCAGCCTCAGCTATCCAAACAATAGTGTCACCCTTCGCCAAAGTGGACTGCTGTCACCAAAGGCCTTCATTACCTCTCGCAGTTAGACTGAAACAACAGAATCTGGGCGATGTTGTTGAGCGGACTCCAATCTGTAGAGATCAGAGAGAGAATCTCAAAAGAGCGATTTTCAAAGCTACCAGCGAGTGAATTTCACATGTCATGGAAGTATGCTGTGTGATTTTCATAGCTCTGGGGTTGGCATGGATCCAGCTTTACTCTGCCACTCGCCTCTGGCAAAGATGTTTGTGGAAAATGAGCCAGATAGTTAAGACAGGATCTTGGCAAAGTTTAGGATGATGTCATATAATGACTGTCTAACAGCCTGGCCTATAGGGACTGGAGTACAGGCAGGTAGTGCTGACAGTGCTCTGCTGAGATTATGTCAGATACCTGCCCTGCGGTGATACTCCACACTCAGCAGCACAGCGCGTGGCAGGTAATGTCTGAAGGCTGCACAGTCCCCGTGCTGGCAGAGGCTGTGTTATTCTGTTTACTCTGGCTAATCGCTACTGCTACAGGGTTCTGCACGGCGTGGGTGCAGTCCCCTAGCGCTCACATTCCTCTGCACGGCTTTAAATAACTGCTCCGTTTCTCCCCCTCGCTAAGCAAATGGGAGGAGAGTGTTAAAGATGGCAAAGAAGGTTGTTTGTTTGAGCTGGGTTCAGTACACTGCTCCAAAGCACCAAACACACTCAGGCACACACACACACAAATATACACACACGGTCCCCTCATGACATATCAGTAAAAAAAAAACCTGATAGTTGCTTTGTTTTCTTGTCAAGTTTGATTTGACGTCTTTTTATACCTTGCCAAGCAGAACTGTCTTTTTTATCCACCAAGTGATGCCTGGAGGAGGAATTAGGTTACTTCTCCTCAGATCATATCAGTTTTTCCTCAAATCTAATCTTGATAACACAGAAACACATGTCTGACTTTCAATATCTTGAAATTTCTAGATTTTTAAAACCACTTTAAGATGTTTTTAAGTCTTCACTTACGGATGCTGTTCTGACTCTTACCAAGCCATTGAAGTTTCTACGTAGTGCTGGTGTGCTGCCTGTAGTAAAAGGTTAAAAAGAAGGGCACTCTGCAAATAACCCACGTCTTATTTTCCAACATGCATAAATAGATAGGGAGAGGTGTCAGAATGTGCATCCATAAATATTACAACACGGCTTCATCGGAAGGAAATTATCGTCCCGTGTGGACAGAAAAAGGGCAACCTCGCCCAATTCGAGAGAATTTTTCGGTGATGTGATTGCGAATGAATGTGCATGAGTATCCCTGTTATATATTTGTGTTTGTTTTTCAGAGGGTATGAGCGTGGGATCCATGCCCAGCTTCGCCTCTGAGTTCAGTCCAACTTGTGGCAGAAATCCGGAGTGCTGCAGGTTTCTGGTCACCCGTGTTAGACCGCCTTCTCTAAAACTTGGCACAAGAGAAAAAAAGTGTGTGGGGAAGAGCCGAGGGCTCTGAAAGGTAAAATAAACTCACCTACTGAACAGAGAGAAAGCAGAACCAGCTCTGCTGCCTGTACTTGACCGACTTGTCTTAAGTTTTCAGACTCCCATGGACCTCTGACCCATGCCAGGGAAAAACCAAAACAAACCACAGGCCTACTACTGTCACTTTGCTCTAAATACAGAACCACAAGGGAAGTCCTGAAATAGCTCAATCCACTTCTCATGATGCCCTTTTTTGGGGAGACTGGGATAAGATAAGACTCTGACCCTGTGTGTTTTTTTTTCCCCCCCAAAGAGGAAGCCGAGAATGTAGACTAGTCTGGTTGACTCTGATAAAGACGAGATGCTGCTGAGATCCAGAGGAGAGATGAGACCCAGAAGGCCGAGCATCTGCTGTCAGTGAGGCTGATGGATGGGACGCCTAGTCAAAGTTTAGTCGGAGAAATCATGAGTTAGTCAGAAGGCATGTGCACAGATACTGATGTTTATGTAATGTTTTTCTGAGTGTCTTTTTGAAAGGATTACTTGTCCTTTCGCAAGAAGACAAAGTGCAGAGGCTACACCTTAAATATGTTGTCTCCTAAGTGCAAACAACTTGTAACCCTCTTTAATTCTCTCTATCCTATAGTTTACAACAACCGTCTAAGTGCTGAATGCAAAAATAAAGGAAGGAAAACAGTGGCTGGTTGGATATCTTTTTAGCCAAACATATGGAGTAAATTGGAAAAAACATAAGTCAGTCAGTTAACAGGTTTAAGTTGTAGGGGGAAGAGCTAATAAAGGTTCAGTCAACACTTTTACAGTTTTGTAATTCTTCAGAAAAAAAAACCCTGCAATCGTCCAAACACATCTGATAGGCACTCATTCTTTTATTACCAGTATAAACTGTAACAATGCCCCTGCAGAGCCTGATGAATACTCACATCATTATGTAAGAAAAAAATATATCAGGCAGTAAATGTCAACTTTCCTTTTCCTGCCAGCATGCCTGGAAGGCTTTCAAGTTTCCATGCTTTCATCAGTTTTAGGAAGTGTACAGCGAACTATATAAATATATAAATTACACGTGTGCTTCCTGGAAACTTATGACCAGGGGAAATCTGGCAAATGTTACACTTCTCACTTATAGATCAACTTTCAGTTAACTGAATAGTTGTTGAATATGCAATGTAACACGTGAAATGCAATGTGAGAGAGAACCAAATGAAAATACTGATCACAAACATATGGCCGGTTGTTATGTGTGCATGACACTGTTACTTAAACTAAGCCCAACTTCACCATAATATATGATATATAATCTTTGTCTTTCTGTGAGTCAGCACTCTAAAACACAGGACATTAAGTACCTAAGAGCTGCTGAATGTTCAGGTGATTTGTTCTCATGCATAGCTGATAATCCAGGATGAGACAGTCTGTTCTGCTGGATGTCTGGGTGGTCTGTCTGTATCAGTGTAGCTGCCTTGATACAAACAAACCAAATTACCTCTAAGGTCATGTATGTGGAAGTACTCCTCTTAACAAATTCATAGAGAATTAATGCTGCAGTTTCCATCAGCTCAGAGCGTTTAAATGTCTCTGGGCTATTCCTTTCCGTTTTCTTGACATACAAATGTATTGCGTCGGGTCACTCTAAACGCTAATAAAATCGCAATAAACTTCATCCTAGTAGTAACAGAAGTATATTCTGTACCTCACTCATGGTAACATATTTATTACAAAATGATTTAGCTCTTCTATCATAGAAGCACTGATTGTCGGGGCTGATGCTGATACTAGAGATGCACTGATCCATTATTTTCCGATCCAATCCAATCCGATAACTGTGCTGAGCATATCAGCCAATATCTGATACCGATCCAATACTACTGCTGATTGAATGAACTGTATTCATTGCCCTGTGAGTGAAGGCATCAGGCTTGACATTAGCCTTGTTAAAACAAAGGTAATAAATTAACACAGTTATAAATTTATTTAAGATTATTTTCTAATAAATAACAAATTGCACATTAGCACACAGCAAAAAGAAATGAGATTTCCACGTAAAAATTTAGTGCAAAAGGATAGACAGACATAGAATAAAGAATACCTGATCCAAATTTTGGATCGATGCATCCCTATCTGATACTGGTGTTAAAAATAGATATTCTGACACTGTTTGCTTTGCTTTATTGACTCCTAATATCTAAGCTTTTTTTTTTTTTCAAATCAGACTTTTCCTTGCCTGTCCCTCCTCTAAAAATCACTGTTACTGATCATTATCTGCCAATAATGAGGTCAATGGCCATGCAAGATTGACCTTCTGGTGAAGCTAAATTCATCATCTGCTATTTTAATTCATCCTGTAGAAACGAATATCTGTATGATGGGAATCAATCCAAGGTGTTGGACTGACTGACCAATGACCCGTCCACAAAAATAACCCCAGTATCAGTATCATACATTTGTTGGTATGACACTCAAATACCTGTGACTTTTTATTTTCTGATTTCTGCCGGTCAGAAAATATTATCTGGGTTATTCCAGCATCAGGTCACAAAAATATTCCACAGCAACTCCTTGAAAGTGCAAACCTCTGCCAACAACAACAACATGTTTTCCTGTTTGTCCTATACAGATTTTTAGTCCTGGGAAATCATTCATCTAACTCCAATTTATTTCTGGTGCTTCAAAAGTTCCCTACAGATTTAGGCTACTAATGTTCTCGCAGAAGATGAATACAGTCATGGCTGTACTTCACATTTCTCTTCACGGGTGACTTTTATCTTGTCATCCTGCCCAATGACTGAAGATAAAGAAGTGACTCTCTTTATTACTTTCAAAGTGAAGACCATAAAAAATGACATTGGCTGATATCCCAGATTTAGATTATCAGTAAAACCTGACTGTTCCTTGGCCTTCAGCCTGTCCGTCCACCAGTGTCCAGCTAGGATCTTAACAGCCTGTGAAAATTCACATACATAACGAAGCACATGTGCTGAAAGGTATTTTCGAACACTGGGAGGAAGTGGATTTAATTTGAGGACGGTTTGGTCAGGTTTGGGGCCTCAGTGCTGATGTCACAACAGCTCAAATATGGAAAAGTCTTCATATTGTTGCTGCTATAGCCGTGGCTGTTTTGACACGGGAGAGAGAAATTTCCACTTGTCCTCACCACATTCCAGCCCTCGCACTGAACAAGACACGTCTACTCTCCGGGCTGGACCTTTGATTCACCCTGCTTAGAAAATAAAACACTCAGCAAGGATTTTTTTTTCTAATATCTGAAGTCCTGGAGACAGGTGAGTGTGGAGCCGCTTCTCTATTCAGACCAAATGTGAAGCAGTATGAGGTATTCCAGGAATTTAAGAAGTCTCTCTTGAATTATTTGGCACGGAAGCTCCAAAAAGTGACGCGACAAAGGGAAATCAGAGCAGAGGAGGGAGGACTGATGACTGAGCCAGCTCTCTGACTTTACATCACTGCGAGGTGACAAGGAGGAAAAACTATGTCACAGCCTTACAAGAGAGGAATCACTTGATTTGATTAAATCCAGCCTGCTTACTTAAACATGGGCCAAACAGGGAAAACCGCCTGAGAGGCTGCATCTGTAAGATCACAGGAAACCTACAGTATGTGCTCTGCAAACTATTAAAGAGCTGGAACCACGACTCTGAAACTCAATTTATGACGATAGCTAAAGATGGCATTGCTTGAAAAACCATTAAGTGGTGTTTCTAATCCTCTGGTTTGACTAACTAGATTTGTTTCCTCATACTACCAACAGTATCAGAAACTCAAAAGCATTTAACAGCAAGGAGGTTATGTTTTCGGTAGCGTTGGTTTGTTTGTTTGTTTGTCTGTTAGCAACTTTACGGAGAAAGTAACAGATGGATTGACCTGAAATTTTCACCAGAGGTGCGTCTCAGCCCCAGGAGGATCCCATTAAATTTTGGTGGTGATCCAGACAAAATTCTGGATACTGTGATCCAGAAGACACAAAAATAAGGGTGTCGTTGGAGTGGTGTAGATGGGCGGCACAGTGGTGTAGTGGTTAGCACTGTCACCTCACAACCAGATCCCGGGTTTGAATCCCAGTCAGGGCATTTCTTGTTTAAGGGGGGACATGAGCTGCTTAGTGGAGGTATGCATTCTCAGAGTGCTTTTCTAGTTCTGTATGTTCTAGTTCCCACGAGCAGCTGCCAAAAAAAAGCGAAAAAACAGAGCTGATTTTAGGGTTATCATGTCAGCACAAATTATAGAAACATGACAGTATCTGTATGGGGTTCAAAGAGAGTGAAACATTTGGCAAAGCCAGAAAAACCGTAGAGTTTCCAATTGGATGCTGTATTCAACTGATTAAAATTCAAGATTTTTGATTTGGCTGACAAAATGACAATTATGGGGTGCTGGTGTGGTGCCATTCAAGTGTGCACCCCATTGCTGTCTTTTTCAGATTTCCTTTCAAATAAAGGCAAAACTGCACCCATTCAATTAATAAATAAATAATAAATTTATTTTAAATAAACTTAAAAAGCCCAATTACAGCAGGTTTATGTGTAAAATAGAATTATTTTCTGTCACTTTTTGAGAAAAAGCACAGGATGTCAGGAGGGGCCGAGAGCTGAGCTGGTGTAACATCAGCTTAATTAAAGCTAAGGGGTCCTGCAGTGGACTGAGCAAAGCCATACAACATTGAAAATAACCCTTCAGATTTGAACAGGGTAAGAAATAGCTGTACAGCTGTTAAGGCAATCATAAATGCTTCATTAATTCACTAGTGTTGTAGGGGTGTGCTCCTGAAATGAGTTTATAGAAGAAAATAACAGTTCACAATCAACTTTGTTCCTGCCTGAGAAGCAGGTAAAATCTGGTCATAATAAGAGGAACATGAGTTTTGGATTGTTTCAAAGAAAGATGGTTTTGGCACAGACTTTATGTCCACAGAAAAAATGAGGCTGTTGCATCACATTGCTGGCTCTGAAGCACAGCAGTTTTCTGTAGTTTATTATTGGGTTACATAATAAGTTGGGCTTTATACCATTTCTGATAGAAACTCCAAGTTGAAAGGATTAAAGCAAACATCACTTGGGCCTTTAAGTACCGCAAAACACCATCTGAACTAACCATCTCAAGAGTTGTTGAAAAGTTGGCCCTCTTTTTTTTTAAGTTTTCTACTCCATTTACCACAACTTAGCAACCCAAGCGACTAATCACTTTATAATAATCACTGTAATTTTCCCTCATTATCATATTCTCTACATCAAGTGAGTTAAAGACTAAGAGAACTAGTGAAATCCAGTTCTGGGCCGGGGTCTGACGTAGACATTGAGGCTCCACGTCTCACCACAGCTGATCTGATACAGCAGAAAGGTTTCACTCAAGCCAGCCAGACACTGGAGTGGAGAAGGGGGAAAGTATAGATCTTAAGAGTACATTTATATGCATGTAATGAAGCATGCCTCAGTAATTAAAGTGTAACACAGACGCATTTTCCAGGGAGCCAGTGGAAGGTAAACCCAGCTCACCTCACTGAAGCTGCCCATTTATTTACGGAGCAGAGTCTAAAACTACCTGACGTAAATATAATGATATAAGGTGAGGGTGTTTGTACTAAACAGTGGCTATCAAAGTGATGTTGGTCTTAAAAAAAGATAGCTGCTTTCGAGCGGACAAAGACCTAAAAGAATCATGAATCAGATACTCAAACATTTTTATTTGTAGTGATTATTGTTGACTTACGATAATCAAAAACAGGCTCTTTCTTTTTTGTTTTTTAAGACTTTCACATGGAGGTAACAACAAATATCATTTATCACCCATAACTATCATGTGTACCCAAGTGTTATTTTGTGAATCACTCTCTGTTCTTTTCTTAATTACTTCAATTTTGGGAAACTTTTTTAGAGGTCAGATCTGTACTTTTTCACACTGAGTTGATCTGACAGAAGTTAGGCCCATGAGTAAATGATGGTAAAAACATTTAATTAAAGAACTTTTTTTTGTATTTTTTGTATTCATTTTTAATATTCAAGTGTAAAAACTTAGTTTGCAGGGTTTACTCAAGCACATTTCTCTTTAAAGCTGTTGTATTCTTCTCCACAGTAAGCATCTGTTTGTGGTATTGTATAGTTACTATTGAATCTTGATTCCACCTCTAATTAGACACAGCCCATAGGGATATATCGCTTAATCCAATATAAAGGATTTTATATACTTTTTGGCATGCTTTAGCCTTTTTTATAGCATAAATTAACAAAACAGAGAAGTGTTTCCTCAAGTATAATGCTTGGAATACACTTTAATGGATATTTCCACATGGTGCACTGTAATAAGAAGTGAAATTTCCACTGAAATTGAGATGATATAGACTTATTAACTTGGTGTGTGGCTTTTTTTAATGTGATATTTACCATAAAAGTCAATTTATGGGCAAACAAACACCCCCCTCTCCTCCCCACAGAGGAAAAACAATAAAGCAGAGGGGTCAGAGCAGCACTATTAGTCCATCTCTGAGGCCTAATGACATCCCCTGATAAACAAACAGCTCTGTTTGAGCCCCCACGGAGTCACTCACCGACCCTGAAGCCCTGTCCGATCAGCGTGTCGGCCCCCTGACCGTTCTCCGCTATCAGCGTGGTGTTGTTGCCCTGCTCGCAGGTATCCTGACACTGGCCCTTCAGACAGATCCGCTTGCAGATGAGAGGAGCGATGACCACCTTGAAGCGCTCCCGTGTGGAGGAGCGCTCCGTGCACCACGCCAGTCTGTGGACGCTCAGCCAGATGACAAGCAGATGGGGGATCAGAGAGGGCATCCTGGCATCCTTCACTGCCCTCCACACAGACCCGGAGACATTAAAAGACCAGATCCAGCACTTAGGCGCCTGCTTAGTTAACCCAGGCTGATTTCTGACGTTTCATACGGCGGAAAAAAAAAACGCGCGTCCCCCCTCCTGTTTTCTCCTCCACGAGAAAAAAAATCACTTCCCTCTCGCTCCCAAGTGATCCGTATGCAAAACCGACACGTTTGACATCTTCAGAGCTTACTCCTCGTCCTTGTTACTTTAGTTGAAAAAGTTATCCTCGCTTTTCTTGTCGCTCTTCTCTTCTTTTTCTTCTTCTACTTCTCGCTGACGCGTTGGAGAGAGTTTGAGAGTTTGTGCGTATGTGGGTTTGGGAGAGAAAGAAGGGAGGAGAGGAGAAGGGGTGAGCCAACCCTCTCTGGAGAAACCTGGCCGGGAGCCAGCCAGGCGGTGCAGGAGCAAAGCTGAAAGTGGTTTCCTTGTTGGTTATTTCTCCTCACACCCCCCTCCTCTGCTCTGCTCTGCTCCTCTGCTGCCCCCGCACAGACCCCACTCTGCAAATCTGCACAGCTGTGTGTGTCACTCTCAGAATAAAAAATACTCACACATAAAGTTCTTCTTGCTGTCCGCACTTTTCGCCTTTCTCTTTTAGTTTGTGATGCTTATAAATGTCTCTAAGTCACTGGTGTAACAAAACTGGTTTTCATTTTTGGGGTATTAGGGTCAGGCTGAGGTCAGAATCAGATGAGGAGGGACTCATCCTGTAAAGGTGCACCTAGGTGGACATGTCATTGTCCTGTCTTTGGGATGCTGTGTAAAATGTAGATTAAAAACAAAGGATAGTTTGCATATCATTGAAGTTCTTTACGTAACTGAAAATAGTGCTGTGTTGAAACTGAAAATGTGAGATGTTTTAGAGAAAACATTACGGTTACGTTAAATTGGTTCCAGCAACACATTTGAAAACAGTTGGGGTCATCTTTTCCATGTTGCGACATCTCTTCTTTTAAACAACACTCTGTAAACATTTGGGAAACAAAGAGACATATTTCTTTTGAACTGAACTGTCCTCTTCCTACCTGATATTGGATATTAGCTGTTCAGGAGCTCAGGGTCTCTTATTGTGTCCTATTCTGTGTTTCATGATACACCAAATCTTTTCTAAACTTTTGCCAGTCTAAACCCTTACACTGTGGAGACAAAGGCATTGTCTTCATAAATTGCTCCAGAACTTGTAGACGTTGTATTTTGTTTGTTGTATTTAATCATGTCCTTATCTTTTATTGTACCACTTTTAAATCACATTTCATTGGCCATCACTGTGTTTGTTGTGTATTTGGTGTTGAGTATGTTTTTCTGATGTCTCCATGTTGTTTGTTGTCTGTATGAGTCTTCTTGTCCTGGTGGTGAAATAGTTTCCCCCATGTGGAATCAATAAAGTCTACCTTACCTCACCTTACCTTATTAATAGCAGCAGCATATGTGTCAATTAGCCATGCCATTGGTGCTTATACATCATACCATCAAGGATGCCGGCTTTTAAAGTCAGTCTGGTAGTCCCACTATTCTTTACAGCAGAAAAAAATAGAGTCCATAATCTCTAAAAAGAGTGTCAAATTTTGAGTTTTGAGATCACAAAAAGAAGAGAAGTCACCAGCATCTGGATCATATTTGCAAATGTTCTCCTCTTTTTATGATACAGTTTTAACCTGCATGTGTGGATGCAGTCACAAACTCTGTTCACAGAGTAACTGGAAGTAACTTCAAATGATTTCCATTGTAGAGTCGTGTCTGTTTTTAATAAAGTGCTGCTTTGACAGCTTTAAAAAATCCCAGCCATCCAGTATCCATTGTTAAGATTTTTCCAGAGTCTCTGAGTCTTTTCAAGATATTATGAACCGTTGTTAAAGCTGCTTCAGGGAACTTTTGGTATCAATTTTGGCGCCCCCCTATGGACAACATATGTGACTATGTGACTGTAACTCATGGGTAAAGTCTGAATGTTGATAAAACACATCAAATGAGAATTAGAGAGATGTAAAGGTTCATCACCACTGTCAGAATCCTAACGGCTAAGCAGCGAGTGAAAGTGGAAAGAAGACAAAGGGAAAGCTGAAGAGTGAGAGAGTTGAGTCACTTCCTTTCTGAAAAGTAAGAGTGTTTACCTTTAGTCGCTGAGGAAATGACTACATGGGCCAAAAGAGAGTTCACAGGCTGTTCTCACATTTCTCTTTTCCTCTGCTGCTCACCATCACTGCATTATGGGCTGCCAAGAAACACACACACACACACACACACACACATTTACAGTATATGTACTTTACACACACAGACAGCCAATATATTGTAGGTTATACACTAGTCATCCCTGCTGAGTGTTATTACATTAGTACAATATAATCGCTTCCTCTGTGGAAACTGAAACTTAAATGTTTCTGATTTGGAGCAACACACAACAATAACAAAGAGGAAAGAGAAATAAAAAAACAACTATGAATAAAACCAGATGTTTCCAGTGAAAATATTTATCAATCTGACACTGAAGTATATCAGTAAAAACAGACGGTTCAGGTTAGCATGCCACGAAAGTCAAAGTAGCAGCATTCTTAATGAGTTAAAGTAAAAATCTCTCAAATTCATTAAAAGAAACAATACTTTTCCATGAAACATAAAGATTTAGTGCTCACACAAGCAGACTGCTCCCTCTGATAATTATTATATTGCTGTGTAATGGATGTAAGTATGTTCTCACATGTAAAACAACATACTAACTGATTGCAGCTTCAGGCTACTTCTAAAAACCAGAGGGTTCATTTAAGAGGTTTAGTCTTCCAACAAATGTCATTTAGTGTAGCAGATAGCACAGATAGACCAAATATTGACAATTAAGTATGGAACATTTTTATGATATAAATCTACACTGTGTAATAGTGGTTAAATGAGTTCAGTGTAGATAAGTGCACATTGGCCTCTCCGGTTTTAGAAGACAAAGTACCTGCAGCAGGTTATGTAAATTTACAGTCTTTTCTGATGGTTTTCTCTCCCTCACTGACCACCCACCTGCTCTCTGCTTTTCATGAATCACCAGCTCTGCACACTCTGCTCTCTGCACGACACTCATGCATGTAAAGAGAAATATTATGTCTGACTGGCCTCAACAGCACTTGTTTCGACTTGATGCCATAACTCCCATTAGTGGTCTGTTATGTTGGAACAGGTCTGCATCTTTTCAAATGAGGTTGACTGTGGGCTTGTGGTTTTAGATCAACAAAATGCCGACCTTTGATCCAAAAAAATATGAGATTGATTAACACTGTTCCTACATTGATGTGGTTGTTTTATTATTCTAATTTAAAAATCTGATGTTTACGGCTGACATCCTTAAACATTAAAGCTCCTGTGAGGAGTTGGTTGTGCAACAGGCTAAAATCAATATTGATTAAAGATTATCTATAATGTCTTACGGTCAGACCAATTGATTGACTTTATGCTGCTGATACTATCTTTTTAAAATTTAACATATTCCATGGCAAAGATTCTCCATAAATTTGGTTGTCAAAAGAAAGCAGGACAAGGTTCTTTAATGAAAATCACTCCTTTTACAACAGGAACTCAGCAAAGACAGCTTTGTCCACAGGGGGCGCCAAAATAAACACTAACTGGACGTTCAGTTACTGTCAGAGAAGATTGAATATAAGAACATAAAAAAACCTGTCCAGAGTGTATTTCATGGTGGGCACTCTGGTTGCCCACTTAGTAGACATGTTCGACACATGCAAAAGTTAAAGCTACTTTGTTTTGAACCCACTCTATCAAATGCTCTCTGCAGTATGCCTTCCCCTCTCTCAAAGGAAAGGCCTATCTTTCCTTTGTATTTGTATTTGTTTATTTATTATTATTTTTGTTTATTTTTTATCACTACAAAAAGGCAAAATTAAAAATAAACTCCCTATTAGGAAGAATTGGCAGTGAAGGGGTGCACTATTACATCAACTGTTTTACAAACACTATGACCCATGCAAACATGTCCAAGAGCTGTGAAAATACCTCCTTTGAATCTCTGATGATCTGTCTCTGAGTGATTTATTCAGGAAGTTTATTTCTATCCTGCTGGATATGAAAAGAAAACATCAGAGTGAACTACTAATCCTATTTAAAGTTGAACATTTGATATTTACTTTGTGGAGTAAAAATCCTGAGTCATCAGCAACTCTTGCGCCTGAAGCAAAGTTTAGAGTTACTGTGCACGAAATGCTGTAAAAGATTCATATTTCAGTCACATCTAACCTGTTAAGCTTCTGTAATCACACCAAAGGCCACCTCAAACAGCAGTTTGTGTGTGTAAACACAACTTTCATTACTCTGCACTCAGGGCAGAGCAGGGTGTTATTTGGGAGATTTCCATGGGCGTGTCCGCAGCACCTTCACAATCCGCCTGGCAGTGTTTCAGTCATTGTTGGAAGATAAACTCTCCTTAAGGGTAAACATAGTTTTCCCTTATATATACAATAAAATGAAGTGACAATGCTTGGATGATCTAAAATTGGTCACAGTTAAAATCTGGTCTCATAATCTCTCCATCAGAACAAAACACATAAACAAGAAGTACAAACATGGCCCTTTAATATTGTAACATGTACAGTGGGTAACAGTTTGACTGTGATGTATGGTGGTATACAGTATTTCAAACACAGAAGCATAAAAAAGTAAATAAGTTCACATCTAGCACTGACTTCTTATAGAGGAATGCCGTTTTAGCCCAAACCTACATGCGGAGGCCTCCGTGTGTGATACCAAAACAATAAATATGATTATCTGAGAGAGAGGGGAAGCCTTGGCAAACTGAATTTAGGGGACACAGTAAGAGATATTTTTACAGTTTTGAATGCCTTTTCAATGACTTTCACTTGTGGATGGGCATGGAACAGTTACATAGTGATCGTTATAGTAGTATACATGATTAAAGTCAGCAGAGAACAACAGTATAGAGCTCAAAGGCTGAGAGGAGAAATGCCCCAGATGTATCAGTCAGTCATAAGAGAGCATCAGGAAGAACATGAGGAAGAAGTTTAGTAGGCTTACATATATTTACATTTTATGTTTACATAGTGATATTCTAAAATCATGTTACAAGTGTGTGTTTTTTTTAATTAAAAAAAAGTATTGGTTGCACTTTTCCACGTTAACCCTCATTAGTCCAAAAAAAAACAGCTAAGCTACATTCTTATTTACAGAAACAGCCAGTGAGGCATCAAACACCAGCAGCAGGAGATCAGATATACACATGCAAGCACCTAAGTCTGACGCTAGTAATTGGCTGGTAACAGTAATACGAGTCTGAACACAGGGAGAGGCTTTCTATAAGCATGGCTGCAGCTTGAGGAAAAAGATGGAATGCTGAGATGTGGTCCACAACAGAAGAGATACCATACATAGGCTGGAAAGACGAAATAAGCTGTTTGTAGAGGGCGGAGGCTGATGCTTACTTATGGAGCTCAGGTCTATTCAGATCCCTGTGGTTCAGCAAATGTAATGTTTGTACAGACAGCATCAAACTTAGTTATTCCTGTCAGAGAACACTTAAGCTTGACTGAGAATATTATGATTGTGAAACAGCTGAGAGAGCAGCTGAGTGACAGGAGGAGATAAGATAAGAGGAGAGGCAGGAGCGAGGATGGTACCGTGGTTCATGCCTCACAGAGACAAACAAAAGTGTTTATGCATTAGAAACAAGTTAGCCTTTAATCTTTTGCCTAATTTGCTGTGTCGACACTTTTAATGAGATTTTTATCTGTAATATGAATTTATTTTTCCCATTATTGCTTTTCAGTGTGTTTTTGTTTCACCAATAGTAATTGCTGTGAGATAATGGTGATTTCTGTGACATCAAAATTACACTCTAAAATGTAATCTGCTTTATTAGACGCACTGCAATTTTCAGAGAGAGGTGTTTTTAGATACTGTTTGGAAATTAAGTTTCAAAACAATCAATTAGGTTAAAAGCCAGAAACCTGAAATACAAAGTGAGTTCAATATACCCTGTGTAGCTTTTGGTAATCTGGCCTCATTTAAACAAACAAAGATCAGGTTGATTACTCTCAATGCCGGTTATTACCATGATATACAGACCGTGAGACACTGAAAGGGGCGGAGTTAGCAACTGAGGACCAATGGCAAACGTGAACAAGTGAGCTGATCATCATGTTTTACAATCAGTATGACATAAGTATGTCATCAGAGGGTACTGGGAATGTGTTTTTAAGAGGATGATCTCTGAGCTTGAACATAACCTACACCAGAGCAGGTTATGCATTTGGTGTTCATGATGAGCTACCCCAGTAAGAAGTAGACTGAAGTCTCAAAGGACAAAAAAACGGCAGAAAAAATAGACTAGAGTTGAGGTGAGGCCGAACGGAAACGTTTATCCTGTAACAGTCATCTCTAAACTATTCCACAAAGGGCTGCAGGTTTTTCTTCCAACCAAGCGGCAGCACACCAGACTTGATTCATTTCATCAGCTGAACTCAGACTGCAGACAGCTGGTTGGTCAGACTGCGTGCTCTTGATTGGTTGGAAGAAAAACCTGCAGCCACAGGGCCCTTTGTGGAATAGTTTGGAGATGAGTGTCCAAAATGAAGCATGAACCAGGCCTGAGGATCAGCAATTCAGTCTTTTGGCAAAAGCCAAAGAAAATAAAAACTCAAACAGTAAATTAGTTCTCTGACTCTTAAAGTGTGTGTGAAGTGTGATACAAGCAGAATCATGATGAGACTAAAATGCGGGTGAGAACTGAACAGCAGCAGCAGTAGAGACTCCGTTGACAGTGAAGTCAGTGTTCAAGGCACCTCTAAAGTATAAACTAGGGAAACAACTTCGCTCTTTATTTCTTAAATTCTGACCGGGGCAGACATCAGATCTGCACTTTCCTTCTTTTGCTAAGAACAGTGTGTGAGCTACTGCTGCTGCTGGAGAAATGTCCAGACAAAAACACTGAAGAATGTACAATGAATACTTTTAAAGTAATGTTTATATCAATGTTTGAATCATGATATCAGATATAAAAGAAACCCTAAGGCGAGGGTTCTAAGAAGCCTTATTTTCACTTTAACAGCACTAAACAGAGATGACCTTATGTGTCATGTTTACTAACTACACAAACAGCTTATTACGGTTGTTTCACCCAGAGTACTTTTCATGGGAAGAATAACAACAGACAATTGAAATCCTCCCCTAAACACAGTCCACAACAGAGCTGTCGTCCTCCTCAGCTCCCCACTCCCCGAACCTCATCTGAGGAGACGGGGCTGCAGGGTGAAGGTTGTTTATGTCGTCTATGGCGTCTGGGTCGGTGTCCTCATTGGCACCGATTCCCATGTGGCTGCCTTCCTCGCGGTGCGTGCGGATGTGTTTCCGCAGTGCTGCCGGCTCTTTGAAGCTGCGGTTGCAGAACGGGCAGCAGCACGGTCTCTCTCCGGTGTGGATGAGCTGGTGATGTTTGAGGTGCTGCAAACGGCTCAGGCGCTTCCCGCAGATGGCACACACATAGGGTTTCTCTCCAGTGTGCGTGCGCCTGTGTTTGCGCAACCCGTCCAAATGGCGGAAGCAGTTTCCGCACTCGGAGCAAGAGTACGGCTTCTCACCTGTGTGTATACGTAGGTGAGTTTTGAGGGCCCCTGACTCACGGAAGCGACGGCCGCACACTCCACAGGGGTAGGGCTTCTCTCCCGTGTGTATACGGATGTGCTTCTTCAAGCTGGAGATCAGACGGAAAGTCTTCCCGCATTCCAAGCAGTGATGAGGTCGATCTCCAGAGGGCTCCCCTGTTGTGTCAGAGACTGAAGGACCCGCTGAGTCCTCTGCTCTGCCTGGTGAAACACTGTCTCCTCTCCCAGATCCAGAAGTCCTAGCCAACTGTTTCTGTCCATCAAGCACAGCCTGCTGCAAATCACCGCTGCAGTCTCGAACAGGTCTTTGGTGTCGCAGAGGCTGAGTGAAGGAACGCTGGGAACCTCCCTCTTCTCCAACCTGAACGTAGCCGAGGTCACCCATGTTGTGAGAAGATTGATCATCATCGCCGACTCTGTTGTCACTGCGCAAACCCTGGTCCTTCCTACCGGACTGAGCAGGGACTGAAGAGGGTCCCTGCTCCTCTTTGATCTCAAACCTGGATGCACCACCTGGTCCTTGAGACTGCCTCTCATCTGGATACAAATCAAAACACACAGAGATGGTCATAAGGGAAACACTGCAACAGAACAATTTAGAGAATACTGACAATAACCCAGACTAGGACCGGGCGATTATAAAATTTTGATCGATGATCGTGATAAATTTCAGTTCGATCACAGTGATCAGCTCAGAGCATATTAACTCGATCGAACATAGAGGAAATGTGCGTCACAACAGCCAATCAGAGTCGAGCTTTTCCTGCTCACTTCTGTAAGTTACCGGAGAAGTAAACAGAATGACCGAACATGGAGCTAAACGCGGAGCTGAGGGCAGCAAGATAGTTGTCAGCCATGACTTTGAGTCATTCTCCGGAGATGTTATTGTTGAGGAGTTATTCAACGTCGGTTGTGTAGCGGTGGTTCGGGTATCTCCCTACTGCGCAATAGACGGCTATTAGATGTCTAGGTTTTTTTTAGACCTGATTTCAACCCTCTAGATTCTGTATATTTTTAGACGGAATTTAGATGTTACACTTTAACCCATTATTCGATTGTTATTCATTTCAAAAAGCAACTGTGAGTCGCATAACTGATATCAGTGTAGTATAGATATAGCCCAGATTTAGACTTGGTCTAAACTTGGTCTAAATTTAGACGTCTTAAAAAAACTATCATTTTTAGAACTGTGGTAGCCTAATCTTAGGCCAGTCGTCTAGGCTACATACATACACCAAAAAATGCTCAGTGGGTCCAAAGTGACGTCGAGTATTTAAGCCGATGAGCGAGGTATGTCCGCAATTGATGCCCTCAAAAACCGTCAACACAACAAATCTGTTGAAGCATTTGAAGAAGTATTTCCCGAGTGATTATGCGGAAAGCGTGAAAATATGAGTGGAGTCTGTACAGCCTGTCACTGCTGACAGGCTGTTTAGCAGTTTAGCAGCAGTTTAGCCACAACTACCAAAGTCATTTACATCAACTAATGTTTACATTTGAAGGCGTCAACATCTAGTCTTGCATACCTGCAAAAACACTCAGGACTGTAAACTAGATGACTGTATTATTTAGTATTTATCTACAATTGTTGTTCTGTTGAGTTATTTTTTTTAAATATATTTTTCTAAGTGTATCTTATTCAATTTGTTTTGTTATTTACTTTGTATGTTAATAAAATGTTGAACTAATCTCTGGTTTCTTTAGTTTTTAGTACAGATGCTTTAAAACATGCAGTTAACAAAAAATCGCGATAATAATCGAGATCGGACGGTATGACAAAATATATCGTGATCTTTTTTTTTTTGTTAAATCGCCCAGTCCCAACCCAGACAACACACACTGAATATTTACCTGGTCTGCTGGAATCCGAGCACATGTGAGACGTGTTTGACGCAAAATCCAGAGCGTGGTTCGTCACAGAGCCATCCGGTTGAATTGAAAGCTGGCACATTTTGTAGTCATCTCTGGGTTCAAACCCATGAAGTGATTCATCCACAGAGCCGCCGAGACCCAAATCAACCCCGGCTCCATTCACATTTCTGGAGTTCTGGTGGTCCCTATCCAAGCCTGAGGTCATTGAAGTCATGGAAGACAACGAAGGAGCAAAAACAGACTGACTAATGGTCTGTGTGCCTGTGTAGGAGATCTGGAGCTGGTCTATGAGCTTCTGGGCGCTGCACAGACACTCCTGCAAAGTCTTTAACTCCCTCTCGGACACCTCCAGGCGAACTTTCAGTCTCTCATTTTCCTGCTCCTTGTGCATCAGCTCTTGTTGAGTCTCGTTGAGTACGAGCACCACTTCACCCAGCAGAGTGTCCACAGCAGCGGACATTGCTGTCTGAATGGTCGGGGCGAGGCGGGATTTCAGGGATGTGACTGTCATGCTGCCCTGAGAGGCTCCGTAAACCACTTTGTCTGCTTTCCTACTGTAACAGGACTCCACCCCGGTCCTGTCGGGAATGTTTATGATACTCTGTTTACGGTTCCCGGTGTGGACAGAGCTGCTGCTGCCGCTGTTTGATGGAGAGGAGTCCATGCTACCAGCATAGCCTGTCCTCCTGGAAGTCATGGTTTGGATGTAGTTAGCTTAAGCTTTTTGATGTAGTTACCTTTACTGAAACTAAGTAGTTTTTAGAAGTTTTGTTGTAAAGCTAAGAGTGAAGTCTCAGCGGTTACATGTGTTTTATTTGCTAAAAACAGTGGAGCAACTCTGAGGTGCGACTCTTCCTGCAGGGCCTGGCTGCGCTCGCTCACATTAGCCTGTTAGCTCTCAGAAACAAACACTAACTATCAATCAAACACGGACCTGATTAGAGAGAGTGACTCTGCAGGAAAATGGCTCTGACCGTGTCATTTAAGTCCACGAATTACAGCTCACACTCCTAGAAACCATGGCCCTCTGCAGCGACTCACCCATTTCCAGTCTGTCTGCAGAGCTGCTCTATACAGTACACTCAGGCCCGTCGCAGAGGAATGATGTCATCTGGCGGCTCTAACGCGACAGTGAAGTTTGCCCTGAGCTGTGACTTGTGGACGCATAAGATCCCGTTAACACCTGGCATTTCCTGGCCTTTTTAATGTGAATATATTCGCAGGCTACATTAAATGGATATTCCGGCGTAAAATTAATTAGGGTCAGACACACCGTAGCACCGAGTTAGACACCCCCTCGAGAGATGAATGTTGCCGACCGCTTGCTTCTCTAGTTATACCAACTTTAGTAACGACTGCACGATAGCAATACACAGCGGTCTGAGGAGCCACACACAAACCTCAACCAAAAAGCCACTCTATAGCCAGAAATAATGCTCAGAACAGCACCTAACTTCATCAACAGTACATATAAGGTCATTACTTTATCATTTCCTCGAAGTAATAATCTTAATATTAATCATTTTTCACTGCAGATGCGGTAGTTCTTCTGCCTTAGCGTCTCGGTCTGACTGCATTTCCATGAAGAAATTATCATATATGTTCTTCCTTGAGCTGCGTCACCCTGCAGCAGTCCGTAATGGACTTGCCTGAGGTCTCGCTACAAACAGGCGGCTGCTGGAAGAAATTAGGTGAGTTGTGTTTAGTCTCTTTGCTTAAGAAATAAGGCAAAGTTAAAGGGATTTTTGGTGGCTAGTGCTATGGCTAGGACCCTATATGTACTGTTGATGAAGTTAGGTGCTGTTCTGAGCATTATTTCTGGCTATAGAGTGGTGTTTTGTGGAGGTGTGTGTGTGGCACCTGAGACTGCTGTTTATTGCTATTGTGCAGTCGTTACTAAAGTTGGTATAACTAGAGAAGCAAGCGGTCGGCAACATTCAGCTTTCCAGGGGGTGTCATTGTAATTGTAAGTCATTGTAAGTTTACTCTTCTTCAGACACAATGACCATTATTCAAGGGCTCTGTCTATAAGGCTCCACGTATCCACAGTAACAGTCATGCGGAGCCCCATAGACAGAGCCCTTGAATAATGGTCATTGTGTCTGAAGAAGAGCAAACTTACAGTGACTTTAAATTCACACTGATGCAAGGTGTGAACGCAGCTCCTACTGGTATTTTGTGTGCCCCCATCACTAGTTACTGATTAAAGCAAAGGCTGAACAGCCTCTTAAAATCTTCACGTTTAATTAGACCTGTATTTCTGCATTGTTTGTGGCACTCTTATTTTCATACCGTTCTGCACAGAAGTGTGTTCAGACTTTTTTGACAAGGATGTTTCAACAGTTTCACTGGTTTATTAATACTCTTATTTACTCTTTCTGTTTGCAATAATCATATCTGCAAGAATCGCCATCATTTAAGCCCTAAGTTTCATACATTTTGTATTTTCCTGTGATTTTTTGAATTATTTTACAAAGAACAAATAAAATATTCATATATATAGGCACTTTAAAATGATCACTTATTTTGATATTTCAGTATGAGGTGCATTTGGTTTCAAAATATTACATACACGTGACATCAAGGTAAACTGAGTATAACAGCACAAACAATTAATCTGTCTTTTTAAAAAGCAAAAATAGACCCCTAAATTGCATTTTTTTTCTTTATTTGAATAGTTACTCAGGTAAATTAAACATATTTTGCAACTTTGCGACAATAGATAACATATAGTGAGATGTCAAGAAGTTGCAAAACACAGGTGTTTATCATTATTATTTTTATTTTTTTTTATTTTATTTTTTTACGTTTTTATAACTAACTGTCTGAGGGTAAAATAACTCAGATTCACTTCTCTCTTTTTTTACCTTATAGTTGGTTAGTGATCAAATGAAAATGAAACCCGCCAAGCATCCTGTATGTGACCCTGTCAGTCAAATTTCGGGGTGAAAATTGCCTCTGTGCTCAGATGTACAGCAGCCATTTGGCGAGAGAAAATGAAGTTTGTCCTCACTAATCCAAAATTAAACTTTCAGGGTTCAAATTCTCTTGGACCTGCAGGTCAGTGACTCCTGAGGGGGTTAAATAACCTCTGTATCGTCTGTAAAGAGAACAGATTCTCCCACAGCAGCGGTCTGAAGGCGGAGCCGAGACTCCAGGGTTGCTGGTGCCAGATGACTTTATTTTCGGAGAGCGGCCAAAACACACCATGAACTTTGTGATGCTTCGCAGATAAAGTGCTCATTGTATCGATCCATCATGGGATCTAATTACTGTCACACATACACACCCAGTTGTGTAACTGGAAGGACACGGAGCCTGTCTGACTCTTATACACCCTATTTATCATACCAGGCTGTGTCTTGTTGTTTTATTTCTAGGCTCTAGGAGGCACTGTAGACCACTTTAGCAAAACATACATAGGTTAGATTGTAGATGAGCCTTAAAATAGTCATTCCAGTTGGGATAGCTCTTCAAAGCAAAAAAATAAGACATTTACTAAGATGCTCACTGTGTTTATTCAGACTTTCTTATGCATTTTCAGTCTTCTTTATGTCTGAATGACTCCTTAATTATTTAGCCAACTGAAGAATTCATTACTCTTAGTGAAATGGGTGCTTACTAAGTTGATAATTGTTTAAAGAGAAAGTTAAATGTTACAAATTTAAAACATAATAACTTTGAACCACTTTGACACTCAAATGAGGAGTGATTGTGTAAAGACTACATCCAAAAGTATTGTACTCTCCCAATATGCTGGTAAAAAGCACAACATATGCTTCACTTGACCAATAATTTCTGATGATGCAATGTGTTTTCCCTGGTCTGAATTTACTGTTTGCTATAAATCAAACCAAACTCACACTATTTATTGTGCAGATCCTCATGACTTTGCTATAAAAGGGCCTTTTTGTATCCCTCTGGGCCGCCTCCATTTCATATTCAAAAATAATTTCTTCCTGATGGAGTTGTCCCTGATGAGGGAAGCAGACCCCTCCCAGCCTGCACTCAAGTGGTGGTTGAGGAAAATGTGTTTTGGTCTATGGCAGAGAAGGGCAGTGCATTGTGAGTTTATATAACAAACCATCTAACACGTACCATCTGCTGACATTTCTGTCACTTCCACAGTCACAACAGAAATATTTCCTACTCAACTTTAAATCTGGTTCTGCAGAAGCATTGATTCTTGATTCCAAGAAATGACTGGGTTGTGTTCACTGGCTGTGGACACACAACTGACTCATTTTGTAGAGCTGAATAGCAATACACTCTTTAACTATTTTTGAAATAACTTGGAAATAGGAACTTTTTTTCTGAATCATCTATAAAATAAAACGAGCTTCATGCAACTTTTCACCCACTTGGATTTCTTCCACATTTGTCACTGTTACAAACCAAAAATTCTAAATTTAGGTGAAAGTTTAGCTGAGGAACACTTGACAAACCCCATGTTAGAGCTTGATTTTACAGCAAAGCACTTTTTAAAGTTGTTTTCTATATCATTTGTAAGAAATTTTTAAACCCGTTAAAAAACTGTGGACTATAATGTGCTGATATATAAAACCCCCCGATGAAATAATTTAACTTTTAACTAACACTACATGAGTTTAGATTTGGGTACAGCCTGCTATGATTTAACACAAGTACATGGTCTCCACCATCATAAGCTCACCTTTTTCTTGTTGTACTTCAGGTATATAAAATGTCATTTATATAAAAACTTAGCTTTCTCACAAAATTGTCCAACTGCTTTCTTTCAACAGTCAAATATCACTCAAGTCCTTTCAGACATGCACTGAGTTACTGAAAATTTCCAGAAATTACCAGAGTGAACAGAAACATCTGACTTTACTTGGAATATTTTCTGCCAGCTTTGTATCATTTCAGGGAAAAGTCTGGGTCAGCGCATATGAGGACAGAGCAGCTAATCTTCCGCATAATTCCCTGTTAGTAGCGGTAGTGGTGGGGTGGAGCGGCCGGGGGATGTTGATGTTTTTCATGTGCCAAGTTTGTGCTTTTTATTAATGTATTCAGGTCATAGACAGTGATACACTTGCTGTAGGAAAGAAAAGGCAGCATATTTTTGGACACTAATATCTGAAATAATTCCGTTTGTAAAGTGGTGTTTGCCAGTAAATTAAAACCACTAAAAGAGTACAATTCAAGGATCACCGGTTTACATATTGGATATGATTGTGCAACATGACATTGTGACTACTGCTGTGTCTATTTACTGTCATGATCAGCTGCCTTAACCACCCCCCTCCACACACTCACCCGTATGACAGGAAAGATGTCGCACTGTAAGGAAAATTCCTGGAGTGCATGTCTGAAAAGGGCTGTTGTGAGTATTTGTAAAATGTAAAAAAGTTAAAATAAAATAACTTAATAGAAGTAAGCAATCATCTTGCTGATAATTAGATTGCTTATGTTGGTCATGTTGACAAAGCTGTATGAATTTTAGTTGGTTTCATACAGGCAGATGAAAACTCCTCACATGAGCTTTAAACAGGATTAATTAAAGAAACAAAACAATATCAAAAGTGGAATGAGTACGCAGGAAAACTCTTCAAAAGTAATCACTTTGGGGGAAAATAGTATTTCATGATGGTTTACTTGTAATCACTTGAATTTTTGTGGAATCGCTCACAGTGCCAAAACTTTAAAGAGCAAAATAAAGCATTAGTATGACTTCATAGCATATAAAATCTAAGTGACTCCATCAGTGAAGTTTACTTTGGTTTGCTGTGTTTCTGTCTGTGCTCGCTGAACTCAGCTCATAGTTTCAGTGAGTGTCTCTGTTACAGAACAGTGTAGGCTAATAGTCGTCACTTTTTCTGCAGACTAAACGCAGATTTAACTTGCATGTGTGCGTGTCCACAGCTGGATTTTAGGCCACAAAGCTGTCGCATTAAATTTCCTTTCCAAACGCCACATCAGCAGAACATCTTGTGCAGTTCTTCTCTTTACAGGATATCAACACAGCTGTGCTGAGTTTTCTTAAAGCGACGTTGTTTAGATTGTTACAACTTCTTATTGTGGTGTTGTTTTGACAAGTGAGATGTAAAGAGGCAGTTTTGACGCTGTTTTACTTGTATACTATCACCTCTATAAGAATCATGAACTGTGCTTCTTTGTCGTTAACAAATGACTCATGGAGAAGCGGAAATCAAGTCTGTGTTACTGGTAAAAAAATTTTAAAAAACTGCACTTTAGTCATATTTATAGCTTCTCCATAAATTCAATGAATTCATTGTTCAGAAGTCATGCAGAAGCTTCTTTTCTTGAATTCGGCCCCTCTGCTTCCCCAAGTTGTGTGAAATTAAGCAAACTGTTCAGCTTTTGCATTTATTCTGATACTAACCCGTAATTTATTGGTTCTCATCAAAAATGTTACCTTTTTTTTCTAGAGTTTATCAGAAGTTTCCCTCTCCTGACAGAGACTTGGCTATTTGTCAAATTTCAGAGGATTCCTTAGATCTCCTTTCACACATCTGGGAGAGAAAAAAACATATTAGGAGAGACTGGAGGACACCAAGTCCACCATGTTTCAGAGCTGGTTTTGGTTCTCCATATGGAAAAGTTGCCAACCAATAGTTTAAAACATCATTGGAGAAATCTTGGGGCCCTCCTGCAACATTTGGGTAAATTTTGACTGAATCTATGTATTGTTCTTTTGTTTTTTTGTTCATCGTCATGGTAGACTACAATCATAGATGAACTGTACTGATATGCCTTTGCGCTTGTGATATATGGTTTTGATCAATTTCTCTGGCTTCCCTGGATTAGTGTCATCAAAATTAAGAAACTCGTGCTACAGTTAAAGGCACTGTAAGGAGTTTTAACTCATTGAGAAACAGACTGAAACTTAAACTTATGCCTCTCTATCACCTTCAAATGTAATTAAGACCTTTCAATTTCCCTATGGTCATTTTTAATGCTTCGAACTGATTTAAAGAGGCAAGTATCAGATCAAATGATTGACAACAGGCAAAAAAATAGCCTTTTATGACTTTTTCCTCAGCGTATACTAATTCAGAGATATAATTCACTTTGATAAAATCAAAGGATGGGATTGTGTCTGCAAACAATACTTTTACATGTATCCTGCAAAAGATAAGAAGATATGTTTGACTCTGTCCACGAGAGGGGCGGTATCAAAACAAACTAATAGTTCCTCACAGCAGCTTTAAAAAGTTACTCATACAGTAAGATTGATTTGTTGCCTTAGTCCGACTGAAACTGGACTTCTAAAAAACAAGTACACATGTTAGTTAGCTAAATTGAACCTCTCACTGTTGTACTAACCATAGACTGTATATAGAATGGACGCCGTCTGCCTCCTCGCTGGGTGAAGCCACCCCAAGAACAGCACCCTCTGGTGATGGGCTGCAGTATAGGTCACAAATCCCGCCTCCTCCAGCAAAGCTTATAGAGTTGTGGACAAACTTCAGAAATTTATTTCACAGAATATAAATTTTTCTCCACCCTGGTTGCAATGTTGACATGTAGTTACTGTAAGACTGGTTTGTGCTCAAGTCTTCTTTTTTCTGTGCAGCACAATTTTTAAGAGTTATTAGGGGGTTCATGTTTCTATGATTGACACTTGATACAGCCTATGGGTGTACGAAGAATGCGTAGCTCACCCAGGGATAGGCTGTTTACAGCGCAATGTTAGTTTCAGGAAGCGGAGAAAAAAACGCAGAATTACCAAGAGCTTTTTGGCTTCAAATCCGTATACTGGTGGAAAGCGGAACCAAGTTAAAACATAGTATATAAAGTCTATGGGACTAACGTCTGACAATGCAGTCGGGGATCGATTTTCTCTGTCATGTATATCAAACTGAATCTATTGATTCAAACTAAAACTTTCTTAACAAACAGTACAGAGTTATAACAGTGACAGTGTTTTTATCATTCATTGTACAGCCCGTTAGCTTTTTGCTAACATGTTCCACCGACTGTTTTGATACATAGTACATCAACGAGGAGACGACCTGATGGTTACAAGATGAAAGGCTGCATGTCTCCAGCTATTGTTGAAGCAGACATGCTTCTGTCAATAATTTGATTTTTTGTCCAGTGCTTGTAAACTTGGATAAGAACATTAATGATAAAAATATATAAATATTTAATCTTGCCATTATGGTCTTGTTTGCTTTTGTGGGTCATATTTAGCTATCAGCATTTTTCTTCGTCTAATTCATATCCAGCAGAAAACAACACTAACGAAAGCTTTAAAAATGCTTGAGGTCATCATTACCATCAAAGTAAGGCACACTGAGTTCTCTCTGCATCTGATGTGGGTTTACTTCTTCTGTTGTTTGATTTCTGCTTTTAACAACAAGTACCAACCTGGGGATTTTGATACGCCACATTTTTATCCCCTTACATGCCCAGTCAGGTCTATTACCGTCTGTTGGTGAACATCTGCTTGACACTTGAAGTTCTTTTACTTTTGCGTCATGGTTTAAGTTATGTCATGCATTTCATTGGAGTTAGAGGTTAGATGCTGAAAAAGATAGGATTGGCTGTCTGGAGCCACTTGCATATATCAGAGATGACACATTCAGCTCTATCAAACAAGGCCTCCCACCCCCTATTCATCTCCATTCAACCTTAAAAAGGAAAAACAAGAGCTCATTAACAAGGGAGACGTGCTCTGAGAAACCTGCTACTGTGGAGACTTGCAACAGGATACCGTGCGGTTTCATTTAGTCAGATATGCAAGTGCGATTATGTAACAAATAGCAGATTTCAGTAAACCCACTAATAGTATGCACACTCACTCATATAGTCACTCTGCTAAAGCATTTCGAGAGGAGAGGGAGGGAGGTGGAGCTGGTGCAGACGGGTCAGGAATAAGGGAGAAGGGGGGGGATTGTGGGAGGACAGAAAGAAGGAGGTGATTGTTCGTTGATATAAAGAGGGGCAATTTTGGGAGACAGAGAAGACAGAAGCTAAAGCGAATCTCGATACAACAACTCCTGAATCAGCAGGTAAGTCTTTTATAATGAACGGATTTCAGAGCAGAGTTTGGTTGGAAAAAGTCGAAACAAGGAGCACTTGTTAGTATTCGTGGACACTTCTGTCTGTCTCCAGTTTAGCTCAGGCTTATTGTTGCACATTTTTGAATGGGTTTTGGTTATCCACAGAGCAGGTATGTTTGTGTGGATTCCTGCGGACATGGCAAAGGCATTTTTCCTGTAAGTGGATCCTCCTGACCGAGCTGTGTATGTTTTTGTGTGTGTTCTGGGTGTGTTACGGGCATTTGGACCTGTTGAGCAACACTGCCTGGAATGCTGAATTAGTATGAAGTAACTCCAAATCTTAACAAGTGAGGATTATTCCCAGACGCTGTGTGAACGGAGGTGTAAATCATTGACACACATGCCACAGAATAATCAATTTGAGCTGATAAAACGTCCACATTTTCTGCATGTGTACTCTCAAGTGGAAGAATAATGAGTTACTTAGTGAGAGAAAGCAGTTATGATACAGTTTTCTTTCTATTTTGAGGCTGAAACCAAGCTTACTTTTAAACTACATTTGCAGTCTTCCTCTGTGCAGGCGTGTAACCTCTAAAAGACACTGCATCAGGGGAGAAATAACTGCGTCCTCATTCTCGCAGACAAAAAGTTCCTCTAAATGTACACATGGTAGGAAACTTAAGGGACCGATATTTTTCAGTCATATGCAAAAATAACAGATTTTTCATTTTTACTGTCTCTGATCTCCACAGAGCTTGATGGCTCCCCACAGGGATCTTCCTCTCCTTCCAGTGATCGTATGTCTGCTCTTCGTCAGAGATTCCTCTTCCCTGCCCACAACATCATACGAGAATCCTGTGAGGCCTCTGGCAACAGATGATTACGATCAAGTCAGTGATGTTACCACCAAGGTGCTCAAAACACTTGCCACTCCCACCAAAGGCACATTTAAAAGATGCGACTACAACCCTTGTCTGGAGGGTCAGGTCCCCTGTCTCATCCTGTCAGCCAGTGGCTGCTCATGCCCAGGGTCCACTCCGTATAACGAGGTCCCAGAGCCCCCTGCGCTGAAATCAGTATCCTGGAACGGGTCAGAGGTTGTAGCCACATGGTGTGCACCTTATTCGTACGTCACAAAGTATGTCGTGACAGTTGGGGGGAAAGAGAGGCTGATATCTGGAAAGGACAAGAGAAGCAGCGGACTGGGTGATGTGGATAATGTGGCTCAGGTTTGTGTGATGGCTGCCAATGATTCTGGACGCAGTAAGGAGTCCTGCATGATGTACCAACCCCAAGACAGTAGTTTGCCTCTCAAAGCAGGACTCATAGGAGGAGCTCTGGGATTCCTGCTTCTCCTTTTGCTGGCCGTGCTGCTCTGGAGACACAGGAGGCAGAGGAAACAAGAGGCCAGCATCTCCATGCACCGCACAGCAGAGACACAATGAACAGAGTACAGAGTTGGACTGGATGTGAAGTGAGATAAGACTCTGTCCCTTGAGAGTGCTCAGACTCATTGTAGTTCATTAAGTGGGACTACAAAGTCTGAGGGTTTCTGAAAATGCAGACTGAGACAGAGGCCAACATGCCCCAGGAATACATGTCTGTAAGACTGTTTACTCGTGGCCTAGTTCTTGTTGGCTTTTCAAAACCCCCTCACTGGCGTTGAAAGGAAGTTCCCTTAAGATTAAAAAAGCAGCTGTAAGACATTATTTTATTATTTATATGTTATGTGTCATGAAAATTAAACCCTAAGGACAAGCGATAAGCAAACAAGAATGTTGCGTGAAATAAAATTTGAGCTTTTAGCATTTCAAACGTGACTCTGATGATAGTTGTTGGAATATCAGGTGTAGGGATATAAGAGGACAATCCTGCATGCTGTCTCTGCCTGTAGCTGGTGTACTGAACAGTTACCTCTTGTAATGTAGCTAAACTTGAACGCAGGGATGTGTCATCAACGGAGGTGGCCAAGGGGGCATGCCCCCCCTAGTGCCACCCAAAAAATCCTAAACTATCATGTTGCTTTTTGCTTCTTCAGAGGAAAGACTTAAAAACCAACCTGTCTGGTGTTTATAAGACAGGCAAGTGTGTGTGTGTGTGTGTGTGTGTGTGTGTGTGTGTGTGTGTGTGTGTGTGTGTGTGTGTGTGTGTGTGTGTGTGTGTGTGTGTGTGCGAGGTGACTTTAGGGGTACCCTCTAAACTTGTATTCAACAAAAGTATATTTAAAATATTTGTGATGTTTTTTTTTTCTTCACCTTAATATAAATGGAAATATGAGCTCAGCTATGTTGTGTACCTGCGTGTGACAAGATGCTGTTTCTGTTTTTTGTGAACTGTGTACTAAAGCACCCTGAATACAGAGCATTCCTTCCAATTGTTGTGTCAATGTAAATACTTTATCATATCACACCTGCTTCCTCCCTTGCATGAACTGCTTTTGCAACACTTGTTGAACTTAGTCATTTCCTTTCTTTTACTAAGGACTGTGGTTTCTTGCTGCGGTCTGCCTTGACCATCTTCTCACATCTTTGTCCTCATACTGAGTCACAGATGATGTGATGTGGTGTTGCATTGTCACAGCCCGGCAGATGAGTACAACCTCTGTGGAAAATCTCTCAAAAGTTTATGGAAGAATTATGCTGCTGTTAGGAAGTCGAAAGCAGAACTCTATTGAACTGGAATCCACTAATGTGTCGATATGGATGTGATTCATGAGGACAGAAAGGGTAAAAAAGTAGGGATAAATTCTAGTGAGTGGCTGGTTTTGTAAAACAGAATCTGGACAGGGTTAGACAAGATCCCGAAGTGAGGCAGTTATTCTTTCTGTGGAATGATTTAGCTATTTTAGCTTTAGCTTTTCAGACTTTATCGCTGTAACTCTGGGGTTTTAACCAATCAGAACCAAGTATGTAACACAACACAGTGATTCGTTTGAAAGCCAGGTAATAAAGGACGAATTCAGTACATGCTATTTATTTGAATGTGCACACGTTTCGTGCCGCCCCTGCATAAGCCACTGCCTAAGTCAGTAAAGGTCTGGACACACCCCTGCTTGGACCACTGTCAAAATCCTCAAGAGACCATCCAATCAATTCCATAGAAATTACTTCTAAAGGCATGATCATCTTTAATTCCAAGTAACCCTTATTATTGGGTCAGTGCCCTCATACGGCGATAATGTCACGTTTTATATTTCTGGGGAGCAGGACGCTTTCATGGGGAGTTTTCAGGTCATTGTGAATCAGAGTTTAACGATTAGTGATGCTTCTATAGCGGCTTTAAAATCGGTAAACAAGACCATAGATGGATACTTTATTGATTCCTCAGGGGAAATATCATAAAAATACAAGAAACAACATGATACAGACACAGCTACAGAATAGGCAAAAGGTCATCTCAGGCTATCTGGACATCAGTTCATGACGGGAAAACCTATTAATGACAGATTCACAGAGACTGATGTTTCTGACTGTTTAAGGACACCAGGATGAGATTTTCCTTTCTTATCATTATTATTATGGGATTTGTCTTGTGTATAATCAGGGCAGGATCCGCAAAGAGAAAAAAAGTACTGCCTTGTCCATAAGAAAAGCTTTAAGCAGCACATTTTCTTGTAGCCATGATGCATCTCTTAACTGTTCAGATAAACATAAAAAAAACAATAGCATAAAATTTACAGACACCTGTTCTCTCAACTGGAATTACACACACAAACGTAACCACTTTATTTGACATGGTATTTTTATGGTCTGTCAGCAGGTCACACATCCAAACATACTGCACAGAGTATAAAAGCTGTATTTGTATTTGTATGAAACTGTCTGTAAGAGTGACTGGATTGATGTGTTTTTAAGGCCTTTGTGAGCTCTGTTTATGAATCTTTGCTTCACTGCCTTAGATTAAGTGGTTTCTAAGATTTTGGAGAAATAAATCGAAGTCTGGCGAACACAAAATGAGACTTTTCAAACTTCATATTTAAGGACCCATTATTTCATTCAAGTGAATCACTTCACAAGTTGCCATCACGCCCATGTGTCACATTGTGTATTTTTTAACAGCTTTTTCCATCTGTCGTACAGTTGGACATGGTCTCAGTGAGCTCAAGTGTTCAGTGCTGTTTTTCCAGCTGTCACACGGCAGCCTCTCAGCGGATATGGATTTTTTTAAAGGCTTGTCTCGTTCCAGCTGAGACTTCCAGTCAACCATCACCAGGCTGCTGAGAGGCTTCAGGCTAGTTTTTTTATGTGATGATAGAAAAGAGAATAAGGTCCAATATTTAAATCCTCACAGTTTATCTCATGTTCAAGCCTCCATCTGCGTGTCTTGCAGCTACGATATAATTCCTTTTTTTGCTCTGGATCACAACATGCAGTTTTTCCACTGCTTCTGGCCTTTTTTTGTTTTTTTTGTCACTCCAGCTGCACATGAAACATGGCACAGAGCTGTGTGGAAGCCATCTGTCTGCAATTTACGGACACAACAGATTGTTTTTCAGGCCTTAAGATACCGCTTAAATGACATACAACCAAAGAGCGCAGTAACTCACAGAGAGGAGGGGAGATCTGGACACAATGAGCCAGTATGTGACCAAATGAAAAAAACATGTGAGAGAGAGAGAGAGAGAGAGAGAAAGAGAGAGCTGTACTGTGGTCTTAAAAGTCCAAGAGTGGTTTGGACCCCATGCTGAGTAGACAGAATACTGTCGCTCTGGTGAAACATAAAAACATTTTTTTCTGAGTAACATATTTTAGCTTATTGTTCTTAATTATCCGTTCGTTTGTTTGTTTGTTTGTTTGTTTCAGTGATAAATTTCTCAGAAACTCAATTTTTTTCTGAGTGTTGACAAAAAGATGAAAAATCAGTTTCATAATCACAAAGTTTTACAGCGTGCAAACTGGTGTCCAGTCATACAGTAATTGAGAAATTGATGGAGCTGGTTTATTTGGTGTGTACAGCTGCCCTGGAGATTCTTTGATTACAACACAACAGAGCCAAGAGATTTTTTATTTTAGTATAATTACATCATTTTAAAGAAAGAAAGAAAGAAAGAAGGCTGCAAAAACGGCCGTTTTACACAACCAAAAATTCAATTTAAGAATTTACCCTCTCTAGCTCTGTATTAGCTTACTCACACTGGGACTCTCAGATACTGGATCTTATATTCTTTTGTTGTGTTTCTGGTTTTAAGTTAAACAGAATTATTTTATCTGATGAAAAAAATATATATATTTAAGGGTAGCAACTTTAAGTTTAGGAAACTTAACCCTTTAATGTCTTTTGTATCATATTTGATGCATACTTTTATATACTTCTATCAAATCAATATGATCAACAAATTACTAAAAAAAACACCTGAATACAGTCCAATAAATGATAAAAATGTCCTCCTGTAGTTTATCAGTTTACAAAAACATCTAATGTATCTAACCAGATAAATAAATATATTTGTTAAATTTTAAGGACATTTTGATTTTTTTGGTTTTCAGTAGTAAGTGAAACTAACATTTCAAAAATTTAAATTTTCCGGCCATAATTTGTGGTTTCAGACATTAAAGGGTTAAACTGTAGAGTTGAATTTATTTTACCTGGAAACACTTTCATTCTTTTTTGTGGTGAAATATCTCAGAGCTCTGTGTTCACATAAGCCAACATTTAACTTTCACCCTTTAAAATAACAAGTCGAAATGATCGTAAATGTGTTTACATTTCAACTCAAACCCTTCTGTGCTTTTTTGCTTTTGTACACTGGTTCTTTTCCTCTGCAATATTTGATTTACTATCAGGGTTATGTCGTTGAGTAACACTGCTCTGAAGATTAATTTACTGGTTTATTTGCTCTGACCCAAGACGGTGAGCTAATTCATATCACTTAACGACCTGGAAAATAAGAAGCATTTCATGAACTTAAGTCCCTAGTGTTTTAGTAGTGTTTGATGTTACATCATGTGTTGTAATGAAATCTCTTGAGTCTTTCAAAGGAAAAACCCAAATATTTGAAATGATCTCCAGCTCCGCCCTGACTCAGATATGAGGTGCAGAAAGAGTGTAAGGGGCATTTCAGGGTCATTTTTCTGCTCTCAACGCTGTTTTCAATTTTCATCATCATCAATGAAAGATGAAAATTTTGATGACTAACAGATTCAGTTATAAAGCTATTTTCTCTTTTTTTTTTACTATATAGGCAGTAAGGTCAGCTTCCTGTGTGTTTTTGTGTGTTGTTATGTCCCAAACCCCTCTTCTCACTCAGGTATAGTCAGAGTGACTCACTCCTATCTCATTCAGTAAACCAGTGAGTCATTTAGAGAAGAGGTCATATATGGAACTGTGAATCAGCAAAAATGTAAGGTTTCAAATTCACAGACAGATACTTTGTGTGCTTGCTGCTTGATTAGTAGTTGTTTGACCACCACCTACGTGAGTGTGAGTTGAAATATTCGTAGTCTTACACTCTATGACGTCCCAATCCCTAAATTTGGGAGTTTACCCACAGGTGTTGCATTATATCATGATGATTAAACAGACCATTTAAAAATGACTCAGGCAATGAGCTACTAAATGTGAAACTGGGAAACTGTCACATAGGCAGACCAGACATTTTCCAAGGGGCATTGAGTAAACTTGGGATTTAATCAGTCTTTTATCATCAATGACTATTTAAATACTAAGAAGGAGGTTTTTTCTAAAGCAGCAGACATCCATGAGGAAAAGAGGTAAAATAAGGTCAGTCAAGTCACAAGTCAAACACTTTTCGAGTTTCGACTCAGGAAAGGTAATGCCCTCTGCTGGTCACATTCAGACCTGTCAGGAGAGGTCAGGCTTCACAAAAAGGCAGATGTGGGCAAAATACAAGTATATGTATACAGTGATTACACTGGGTTTAGTCGCACTGTCATAGAAAAGGCTTTATTTTATGGTAAAGAAAACTGTATTTTGAAATATAAGAAATGTAAGAGAAACTAGATCTTTAGAAGAGGAGGGTAATCCAGAAATTGAAAAAAAATATATAGGTGAGGAATTCTTTAGACACTTTATCGAAAGCCAATAAACTTTAACTTTGCACTGTTTCTTCCCCTCCTGTGCTGTGTATGCTGTTATGTTGAATAAAGAGTGACTGTTTTGTGTCTAAATCGAGTTAATTTTTCTGTCAGTGAGTGTGTTTTTAAGGGAGCAGAGGCTTTAAATAGCTTAACTGTGATAAAAGTAATTACAGGCTATAATATTATGTTCATCTAATAACATTAAAATGGTACCTCTGCAAAACCATCATTCATTTTCATGCTATTAATTATTCATGAAAAATTAATTTGCATTTAGCTTTGGGAGAATGAATGTTAGTTTTTATTATTAGTAACCCAGCAGCGGGGGCACTAATGGCTGCTTCTGTGCCTGCTGGGGTGAGCGCTTCCAGTGCAGGAAATGTTCAAACTGGGTCAGGCATCCATCAGTGCACATTACCGGATCAAGACTGTTATGGACTCATACTGGTTTGATATACGTGTAAAAATGAACTTATTCATAAGTAATGTGAAAAGGTCAAAGTGCATATAATACACATGATCAGTGCGCTGTAGCTAGGACTCATGATTTATGTGCTGTTTTGATGAAATGATAATTCTGTGAAAATTGTTATTAGTATCTCAGTGTGGACCCTTTGGGGTCAAAGTTGTCAGTGTTACAGGAGAAGCCCCTACAACAGCTTTAGACACTGTAGTTCACTGGATGGTTGTCTGGATTGTAGCACAATCAGACATCATGTTTAAGGGCCTCGGGACAATTTAAAGCAGGTCTCTGATTGGCCAAATGAAAGGAGGCCTCTGATTGGCCAAATGAAAGGAGGCCTCTGATTAGCCAAATGGCTGGTGATATCTGATTGGCCAAGGCCTCCCCTTTGATATTGATTATTTTGTTTTTTACTTTTATTTTCTAACTGAGAAGGATCAGCAAATATTACAGCGTAACATTGAGGTGAGTACAGCACTTTTATTCCTTCATCACATGAAGAGCCCTGACATGCTCCAGTCCTGGATTTGAACCCAGAATTGATTCATTGAGAGGCAGCAGCCTTCCACACCACAGGTGAGCCTTGTGGAGATTGCTTTTGTAAGAGCTTTCCTACCACACTTGTTTGGTATATTTTCTTCCCATTACATCGTGTTGATTCAAAAGCACAGTCCAGACCCCTGCAGTTGCAGACAGGCCATACTAGCTTTAACATGGGTCTATATGCTGAGATTTGAACCCAAGACCTGTGTATTGTAAAACATCAGTGATACCCATCATTCTGAGGTGCCACTACACATCACTATTATCCATGTAAGTGAGTTGACTTTATCTCCTGGAGTTTATCTCACCATTAAAAGTTAGCATTTTCTTTGTAACAAAATAAAAACGAGATGAAAACATCAGGATACGTTTTAATTTCCTTGAGGGAACCTTCCCAAAAGGATCAATAAAGTTGTATCTGATCAAATCCAAGTGTGTATAAGGTGAAAATACAGTAATCTCAGCACAAACATCATTTTAGAGCACCGTCTCTGCAGGTTTAGGTATGTTAAATGTGCACTGGAACTTTTTAAATGCTGTATTTTCAGTTTATGATTTGTTTTTTATTTTATTAATTATTTATCTACATTTTTTATTTATTGTGGCCCTGTTCAACAGACTGTTCAGACTACATGCAAGAGTATGAGCTGGGTTAGCTATTGTGCTGTTTGTACACACAGTTTAATCAACAAGCAACAAAATGTCCCTAACAAAATGTACAGTTGTGTCTAAATGGCAGCTGTGGCTCACCAAGGCTGAAGTACGGAGCTTCAGATGCATGTTTGACATTCTCTTTTGAGTTAGTTTGTTAGTTGTTTGACAGTCTGATTCATACATTTTTAAAATGACCACAGGAATCAGTTTAGTGCCTCTCCTTTTCCCTGTTGGTCAGGGGAGTGAGTGTTTCCAT